CCTACATGCAGGCAATACGCATCTCAGAGCAGCAAGGAAACTGGGAAGAAGCTGTAGCAATTCTTCTACCATGGACATCCCAACATACACATGGGTATCTTTTGACAAAAAAGCCGCTTCAGCACCAAGACCCCCTTCCCTAACACCAAGAAACCATTTTTTGTTTAAAGTGGATGCCAGATCACATCACACCAAAGGCACCAGATGAAAAGATCAGCAACAGAAACCAAGGTGGTACTATAATTAACTTTTTCTTTTTATTTACACCACAAGAATAACAAGTTGTCATAATGTGGTACAAAATACTGGACTCCTAATAAAGTTGAAATTGAAGTCGGTACTGTCAGAGAAAGACACCATTGGCCAGTAAAAAAAAAAAAAAAAAAAGAGAGAAAAGAGAAAAAACCAAAACAAAACAAAAAACCCCAAACAAAAACAAGAATGAGAAAAATATTCCAACTCCACCAAGTAAAAGAAAGGACCATCAGAAAATTTAGCACAAAGAATGCTACCATCACTTAAAGTAGGGTCCATATAATAAGAGTGAAATTGTGTCTAAATTACAGCGTAAACCGGTAGCTGCTACCAATGGTGACGTCATACTGAGCATGTATAGGTATAAAGTAGAATATAATATAGTTACAACTTTTTGATACTACATATCTGTAATAAGCTCTTGGGTGAATAATGTTTCAACCCCTCCCCCCCACTTTTATATATATATTATATATATAAGTTTGTCATCCTCATAAATTGGAAAATAGCGCCTCCACTATGGAGCACAGAAAAGTGTTAATTTATTTTCTTTCAATAGGATACTTTTTCATCAATATCAAAGACAAAGTGAAGATGAGCTGAGAACGAGCTCAACTTCATGACAATGACAAAAACATGTTTTCGTTTTGATGTAAAGTCTCGTTTTAAACCACAGTGTTGCACAGTACACGACTGTTTAAAGTGAAACCTAGCAATAATACATCATGTAAAAGTAATTTTAAAAAAGTTAACGCAGCTGTGCTGAAGAGTTAACTCTTTAAAGTCCTCATCATTCATCTCCTCAGAATTAATGACTACATTTGTTGGCAAACGGTTGCATCCATCCTCCCCACCCAGCCAAGAAATCAAAACAAAATACCAACCCAAATTAAAAGGGAAAAAAAACCCAACACAGGCAGTTTACTTTCATGTGTTCTGTGTAGTTTCCCTAAAAACACTGCTTCCACATAAATACAATAAACTCTATTATTGGTAAATCACAAGTGCTAGATAAACATCTTTTTTTTTTCTTCTTAAAATGAGAAATGTTTAAGTAGTCCTTTTTATTTACTCTTTTTTTTAACAATAAAAAGCACAATTTCTTATTAAGTTCAGTAAGACGCAAAAAATGTTCCCACTCTCCTTCCTTTGTGTGCAGCTATGTGGGTGCGTGCGTGGGTGCATGTGTGTGTGACAACAACGTCCCAACCTTTAGTCTCCGCAAATGCCACGAGAGGGGGGAAAAAAAAAACAACCCAAAAAAAACCCCAAAACCACAATTTTTTTTTTTCATTTTCAAAGCTGCCAAGTTTGGCGTGCAAAATCTGTATACAATATAAAGACATGCCAACCTTACAGACCATGCAACCTCAAGGTGTAGGAAACTTAAAAAAATATATTCATATATATTTATATATATATTTATATATATCAATGCCCATAAAAGATGTGGGCCCAAAAAAGTTTACAAAAGGAAGAATGGAATGAATACATGACTGAGACTAATAAAAGGAATGTTTTGTATCGAAAGTAAAAAAACAAAACAAAACCAACAAAAACCCCAATGATTACTTGTGTACTGCAAACCGGGCCTCACTTCTCTGCAAAGAGGATTTAAAGATGCTCCTTTCTTTCCAAGCAGGTACAAAGGATGCCCTGAGCAGCACCGTGCTGGGATGCAGGAGCATCCCAGGCTCCTGCCCCGCTGGTGCAGCCACCCTAGGGCAAAGTCATCTCAAAGGAAGAAGTTAACGGCTAAAAGGTGAAAAAAACCCAGTGAGCCTCAAAATGAGGGCTTTATCCCCTCTCTCCGCCTGCACCGCCCCTGAAGAGCATCCCCACCTCACGTGGGGAGTGGGCGCAGCTGCGAAACAAATCCACATCGCCAGGAGTTTGGAGGAGACAAGCTCCAGTGTCTAGGGAAAAATCTTTCCATCCTTGGCAAAAAGCTCAGCAAAATGATGTCAAATGAAGGCGGCATCCTGAGAAGCTCCTCCGAATTTTAAAAAGAAACCGGCTCAGCATGGCCAGCCAGCACCTCTCAGGAACACAACAATGAAATAAAAAGCTTTGCCACGACCAACAGGAGAAATACAAAAACTGGCCAGGGAAGAGCTGACAACAGAAACGATCGTGTAAACGTGGTTACTGCCCACAGCATGTTCACAGAGAAAGGAAAGTTTAAAGTCAGTCACCAGATTTGGCAGCCAGATTAATTTTAGATCACAGCAGCAAAGTGGTCGGTGTAAAAAAATAAACAAACCACAATATCTCCAGGTACGTCATGCTTTTACACGGGAAGATTACTTTTAGAATATGTTGAGGATGGTCCTACGCGACCAAAGCTATTCATAATTTTAACACGTACTTGGGTTTGCAGAACTCAAATACAGTAGTGTCTGGTTTTTAAATTGCATTATAAACTGAGGAATAAACCAAAAGCCTCTTGCATTTGCTCGCACATATGATTATGCTTCAAATTCCTCTTGCGAGCGAGTCCTGAATGGAATGAAAATGGCCGCTTCGAGAACTGGAAAAAAATAAGTTACTGGAAGCGACCCTGTCAGTCGTCATCATAACAGAATAAAATAATAATAATAATAATAAAAAGCTACTCATGGTTGTTCAGACGAGGGGTGAGTGCTATCCTACACTGCTGTAAGAAGGCACGCACGTCAATCTGGTCTCCTCTAAGCTGCTCAAACTCTTCATGGCAGGGCTTTGCTGCTTCTCTGACCCACCGTTTGCAGGAGGCGACAGCCGAGGCTGCCGCAGGGCAATGGCCTCCTCGGGGCGGGGAAAAAAATACCTTCGGGAAAAGTTCTCCAACCCTACCAGCAATGGGAAGAAGAGGAGAGAAAGAGAGAGAGTGAAAGAGGACGTGGGAAGGTGTGTGTGCGTGTCTGCGTGTCCGTCTGTCCGGCGGAGACAAAAATGCCAGCTGTCCCATGAACGTCTGACAAGCCTTCCCAATGGCCGGCAGCGACTGCAGCCACCTGTAATGCTTGCTACGATCCGCACGGAGGACAAAGACATCACCCATTGGAATACTACTATGTCGAAGGTAAAAAAACTGCTTATTTTCTTTACATAGCTACTACAACAGAACTGAGGAAATATACAGTCGGCGGTATCATTATACAAAAGAGCCCATCGTGTTCCCTCCTCCTCCATAAAACGCACCCTTTCCAAAAAATAAACTCTGACAATCTGCCACAGTTCCTTATGCCTGCAGAAAGCTGCTCACTGTACAAAAGACTTAAGAAAAAAAGAAAAAAATAATAAAAAAAGGAAATTAATGTACAAGCAAGAAAAGTGGGAGGAAAAAAGGTTTAGATGCTATTGCCATTCAGAAATGAAACCTGCCAAATAGAAAATAAATGTCAGAGTCACACAAACAAGGCTTCTTTAGAGTTTTGTGAAATATCGATATAAAAATTAACAGCAAATTCATAGTCTTTGCTATAAAAAACTCTTTTTTTTTTTTTGTTAGAAAAGGATCACAACTAAAAACCTTAAATTAAAATACAAATGTTTAGGGTAGTTGCCCAGTGGCTAACGTGTTGGCTTTCTGAAAAACTTTCCAACCTGTCATCTGAAAGTCCTCAAGTTTCAACCTGGATCCTTTTCCAAAAGCACCTTTTACGTTCCAATTCGCAAGTCTGTCCCTAGGGAGCTTCCAATGGCTACTGTTACAGTATGCATTTATTACATATATTTTTCTATAAATGCATCATAAATATTTGTATCAATAATTCATAGGAATCCATTTTCTAAGCTTGGAATATATTTGGAATATACATTATACACACATATATATTTATACCTAACAATTTAAGCAATATCTCATGCTAGTTGCTTTTAATAAAAAGCATTCCAGTCTTAAACCTGCATTTGTGTCTAATACATGCTTCAACAACCAAATTGATAAGTTCAATTACTAGATAATGTAGAAGAGAGAAAACATTTGAAAATTTGTTTTTAAAAATGGTTGAATTTCAAAGACCCAACAGTATTTGCCACTTTCTTGGCAACTACCTTAATTTTTTTTTCTTTTTTTTTTTTTTTTTGAAACAGCAATGAAAGAAAACAAAACAAATCCAAACTTGTAGACAGTTTTTGGAGACGCTCTGTTCAGCTGATGCCTGCTTCCCACCATCATGCCAGCACAAGCCAAAAAGTCTTCCTTCCTGATGGCAGTTCTTGGCTTTCCCAACCAGAGGAAAAATATTCGCGAACTGCTGTGTTCTTTGTGTTTGCTTTTTTGTTGTTGTTGTGGGTGGTTTTTTTTTTGTGTGTTTTTTTTTTTTTTTTACTTAAGGCATTGTTCCTCAAACTTCAGAAAATCCAGCTGCACCAAATCCATCAATTAAAAAAAAAAAGGCACAAACTCATCTTCAGATGGCTTTGGAGACAATAAAGCCGACTCCATCTGGGCTACCGTTTCCTCCCTTCAGTCTGACTTCTCTCAAGAGGTCAGTCGAGTCCCTCTTTCTCTGCCCCTCCCCATTAAAAGTACACCATCTCCCATTGTTCTGGTTTTGACAAAAATGTCATTGACTCACAGGCAGGCAAGAGCTATTTAAAAAATCCAAGAAATGAAACTACAAGATGGGTCAAGTGGTTCAAGCGGAGATTGCTGAATTGTGGGTAATCAAATTGTAAGCACCAGTTTTACGTTAAGGTTTGTTTGTTTTATTTTCATATGTGTTGTTGAATCTTTGATTTTCCTTTTTTTTTTTTTTTTTGGCAACTCTGCCAAAGACTTCACGGGCATCGTTCCCCTTTCTGCTCCCAGTGAGGACCAGAGGAAGAGTGCCCAACATGTCAGTCCTTTACTGCTCTTCACCTGCATTTTTCTTTTTCAGCAAATATATACTGTAGACGCATATAGATATGGAGAGATTTTTTCGGTTGCTTTGTTTTACACCTGGTTGTCCTTCTGTATTCTGGAAAAAACCATGACAGGACACAGGAGTAACAAGAGAAAGCTTCTTGGCAGAGCTTCAAGACGAAGACGAACAAACAGGAGAACTCCAGCTCAAAGGTGAATGCTACAGGGGAGGTTCCTCTTCCATGGGTTCATCATCGGGTCTGAGCAATTTCACAGCCAGGCAGGACGGGGAAGGGATGAAGAGAGAAAAGACAGTTGAGCACAACAAAGTTGGACAATTTGTGGTGCTAAGTCTTACACATTACATCCCCTTCACCTTCCCAACCAGGCAGGTGTGCTCAGCTGCTCACCTGGAAATAAAACTCGCTGCCAAGAAGGGTTTTCACTTGTGCAATGTTAATTTTTTTTTGCAGCAAAATCAATTTCCTCTTGCGGTCCAAAACCACGTTCAGCTCCAGGTGGAGCAGAAGGGTCAGGCACCTTACTAAGGTCACACACTGAGTTCATGGCACTGGCTGTTCTGCAGCCCAAGGAGGTCTTTAGAGAACCCACAGAGGACAGGAGATGCAGGGAATGCATATGCAATGGTTAAAAGGAGAGGATTAACCCAGAAGGCTGCCCGCCATGGTTCCTCCTGCCTGGGCAGACTCTGAGATGTGATGATAAATGGGAAGGAAAAACAACTAACCTCTTCTCAGCTGGCTTCACGCCCACTGACAGGGATGCCATGGCTGTTACTGTCTCTGCCTCCTCATTGTCACACTTCTGTGCCTCAACCAGGGAGTACCCCACCGTGGAGGCGTAACGCTGGAGTGAATGCCAATACTTGCCTGGGGAGAGAAGATGCAGTTAGGGCACCTGCACCATAACAGGTCCAGCGCCGCGCTCCTGCTTTCCCAGGCCCAACAGATGTCTGAGACCTGCCTGGGGAAGACTCATTACACCTATACAACATGCAACCTTGATCTGCACTCCCTCTCACTTCAAGGACAGTCTCAAGATCCTAGGGCTGTGGAGGAAGCTGCAGGTGGAAGTGGGCTCCTGGGAATGCGTGCCAAGGGAGTCCCAGCTTGCAAGGTGAAGCCAGAGAGACCCCTGTGAGCTATGTGCCGTGCTACTGTGTTAAAAGATGGTGCTGCTATGCTGCTGTGTCTTGAAAAGGTAGGTTTTAAATCCAAAAGGTACTGAGAGCATTGACAAGGATACACCTGCGCATCCCTTAAGGACACCGAGGATGTCAAACCAGGGCTGAATCGCTGTCTGGCAATGAAAGATGCTCCTCTACTTTGCCTAGGGAGTAACAGTGGGAGGTGGAAACTGGATTTTCAAAGGGGCAAACGCGCATGGGGTGCTGGAGGTGAGGATCCAAGCTGCATAGAGGGGTACAACATCCCTCTGCCTTGATGAAAGGGGGTACTTAGGTGCTCAAAAAATAACACTTCCCTTTTCACTTCAAAACCCTCTGAAACTTTTAAACCTAAAGAAAAATATGTGAGAGGGAGGGATGCATTCTAGATTTGGACTGGTCATCTGCATTCAGTTCCTAACTGCCACGTTCTTGCTACGCTTTGGTAGGCAAATCACCTAGGACTAAAGAAACAGTCTAAGTTGTATTTATTTTTTATGTCTGCAGTTTGCAATGTTAAAAATCCCTTTTCAGTGAAAAAAGCACAGAGAAGGCTTCAGAGGGAAAGAATAAAGGACATTCTCTTGGCCTGCAAGCAGGACACACTGAATTTGCTGGTAGCCAAGAAGCCACAGCAAAAATCCTGAAAGCAAGAACTTCTCCAGTGAGGCCAGCAGGTGGGGAGGTGGGACTTATTGCTTCTTCTGTGTTGGGGAGGAGATCTGAGGGTCTGTTTTGAAGCCCCTTTTAGTTTTCTCGGTTCATTTTAAGACAAAAACAATAAAAAAAAATCAATGCCTGGCTCAAAGTGCTGCAGAGGTGTCCCATCAGTGCTGAGCATTCACTCCACAGAGCAGCTTCTGGAAATGGAATTCAAATTTCTAAAGCCACTGGGCATTTTTCAGGGGAAAAAAAAAAAAATAATGCTTTGGAATCTTTTAAGCTCCATTTTTGCCCTGTAAAATGGAGACTAGCCCCCTCCTGTTTTAGATGACAAATGTTTGAAGCAGAAAGATGTCAGGACCTAGCAGTCAGATTTCCAGGTTACTCAGGCTCTTTCACTCCATCCCTCAAGAATGTCCCCAGGAAAGCTTCAACCACGATAATTTTACACACCTCTCCCACCCCACCCGCAGCTAAATAAACCTACAGTGTTAGCAACTTCATCTGTTTTATCTGTCAACTTTCAACCCTATCCATTCTTAATTAATAGATGCCTCAACACCCAACAAGATCTATGTTAATTGGAGATACTTGAATTGCTTTTGAAGAGATAAGGGCACACTCTAAAGTGCAGGACAGCCTGTCCTTTACAGAGCTTTTCTAGGTTTTAATACAAATTCCTCCTCAAGCACCAAAGCGTTTCCCTGAATAGACTGTTCCCCATCCATCGCTCAATACACTACTGCACACACAGTAAGACCAGCTTGTGGCTGCACCAATCCAGTTCACAGTGCAGTGACCACCTGTAAATTAGGATGATGGAACATGGAGTTGCCAGGATGATGGAGAAGTCAGAGGGGTGTCCCACAGGGCAACCCAACAGCAAACCAGCTGGGTGAATGGAGCTATACTCACTGTGTATCTCGATTACTTTCTCCATTGAATGCACCGCATTAGCATTTGCTCTCTGCTGGAAAACCTTTTCTGGAAGAGGGTCAAGCTGGAAAGAGAGAGAAATACCAAAGAAATGTTATCTCAAGCTAGAGACCAGGCATTAAATGTGATTTAGCAAGTGGCTCTATTGTATCAAGCCTCCACCCCATTCCCCTGATTCCTATTATCCGCCTTTAGTTAAATGTCCAAAATATACAGACTTTCTCGGTGCTGTTGTGATACAGCAGGAGGAATGCAGCCTCCTCCAGCCTGATGCTCTTCCACATGCAAAATGCTGCAGCTCCACTGGGCTCAGCAGCCACTGTAGCCACTGATGTAGACTATGAAGAGACACTGCTACACAGACCACAAAAACAAGGCTGCTTTTACAATGGATCTTTATAAGCTATTGCTCAGATCTACATTTTGCAAAGTTTTCACTATTAAAACAAAACAATATGCAAATAAAAGGGACTTAAGGTAACAGCCACACTTCTGTTTTTCCTCTAAAGAAATAACCGGGGTGGGTAGCTTTTTAATTTTTCTAAATACCTAAATCTAGTGTATTTATTAACTCATAACTGAAAAGATCTGTACCCTAAGAGTAGGTAGCCTGATTTTGGTACAGAGAAACAGCAACTGCTTTAAAGCCACACTCAGCATGACTATATAACTTCAGTCACCATCGATGCCTCTTACCAGCTGCTGGGCTAGTCTTGCCAGGCAGAGCAGCATTAGATCTGTATGCTAATCTTTTTAAAAAATCGCCTTGAAGTTACAGGTAAGGCTTATAACGAGGTATTAAAATTTGGCTCTTTGATGCTGGCTGCTTTCATAGAATCATAGAATGGTTTAGGTTGGAAGGGACCTTAAAGACAATCTAGTTCCAACCCCTCTGCCCTGGGCAGGGACCCCTCCCACTAGACCAGGTTGCTCAAAGCCCCATCCAGCCTGGCCTTGAACACTTCCAGGGAGGGGGCATCCACTACTTCCTTGGGCAACCTGTTCCAGTGTCTCACCCCCCACAGAGTGAAAAATTTCTTCCTAATATCTAATCTAAATCTACCCTCTTCCAGTTTGAAGCCATTACCCCTCATCCTAATGCTACACGCCCTTGTAAAAAGTCCCTCTCCAGCTCTCCTTTGCTCTTTATACAAAAAGGCGACAGCAAGAACATGCCGCTGGTATTGAGACTTTAAGCTGAAAGATGACACAGAATGCTTCCCAAAAATGTTCAGTGTAAATGCACATAACAAGTAGGTATCTTTCTGGGCTTGGCTGCTTTTATGCTGTAAATGCAAATGGTAAATAGATGATTTCTGTTTTGCTTTAGTGTACATCCCACCCTCAAAGAAGCAGTGCTGTCTTTGTTACCGACTGTTAAAAAAATACATCAAACCACTAATAATTTACGTAACGAGGAACATGGAACAATAAGAGTCTATTCATTTTGCTAGAGAGAGATGAATTAGGAAATGCCACTCTAAAGAAGCTTCTCTAAGTCATTCTCCAGTTATTCTTCTAAGTCCATCTCCACTTACACTTGAGAAAAGCTCTGCAGTGTGGAACTACCTGTAAAAGCCTGTATAAGAAACCCATATGGGCAGTATGATGCTGATGGAGTTGCCTTGCAGGACTGTAATGGCCAAGTGCTGGTTTGGATGCCGTTCCCACTAGCAAACCCACACTGCCACCAGGATAGATCACTCCAGCCCATGGCTGTGAAAGAAGCTATCCCGGCAAGCAGGTGGTTTTGCTACCAGAGCTATGTCTCTGTTAGAGGTCTCGGCCATCCCAGCTGTACCAGTCAGGGAGCACACACCTCTGCCGACCGAGTGGTGCTGGCTAACAGTGGTAGGGTAGACCACTGAGACTGTGCTTTGATCAGTACAGATGTTTTTTTTAAAAAAATTAAATTACTCCTAAAATAATAGTGTTCAAGAGCAAAAAGCTTCTGCATACCTGAGACTTGCTATATAGAAAAATAACGTCCAAACTAGGTGCACATATTGCTTGTTTTCAGATGCAAGCTCTGCTACCACCAGGAGAGAGCTGCCCTTTCAGTTTGCAGTTGAGGGGTTACAAAACTACCAGGGGATCTAGTTCACTTTTGCATTGGCACGGACAGATGCATCTAGAGTAACCCATGGGCAGTAACTACAGATCTCCCTTCAGCAATGAAGGACGTTGCCTTTCCCATTTCTTTTTAGAGGCATGAAAGCGCTCAGTAGTCAGGGCAGGGGTGTGAGAGTGAGAGCAAGAGAAATACCCTCTCCTTGCTTGATGGTTTTTCCTCCTGTTTTCTATGAGCTACTTTCCTCTCGCCTGATAGAAAGCTCTGTCTGCATCCTTCCCAGGCCCAGCAGCCTTCAGTCAGTACAGAAAAGGAGAAATTAGATCAACACCCTGAAAACTGCATCCTTCTTTGTGGTATTTTTTACCCCACTCATTCAGGAGGAGGGTGCCACAGAGCAGCAAGACGGGGCTCTTCTGGTGACAGAAAACATCAGTAAAGACAACAAGCCTCGAATACCCTCCTTCATCAAGACCATGGGGTCGCATCCCTGGCAAAGTCTGTTCTGCAGTGAGAGCATGTGTGTCCTCTCCCAGAGGAAGGCCCCTGGCAATGCTGCTGGAGGGTTGTTTTAGTTTTTATTTGCCACCTTGAGGAGGTGACGACTGTCCTCTGAAGAGCTAAAACCGTCTCCTTGCTCTTTATGAAGTTATTAAACCTTTTATTGTTGTAGTTATGATGCTTGCTTTGATTCCCACTGGGCAAGAAACTTGGACTCAAAACCAACTCACAGTTATTCGTTTGCTGTGTTGTTTTTTTTTTCCTGAAAAGCCAGCGAAGACCCAAAGATATATTCATGTGGCTCCTGCCATCCTTTGGAAACAGCAGCAGCACAGTAATACTGCACAGGCATGGCTCCAACAGCAGGCAGGAGTTAGGGCTTCCTCCCTCTGAGGCACCAGCATGCCTCCTTAGGAAAGTAGATAGATCTGCAGTGCAGATCTTCCAATTTATTAAAAAACAAAAAATGAAAAATAACGCAAAATTATAAAAAGGTCTTCCAAGAGAAGGAGATGGCATTATTTGCTTTCAAGAGGTAATACTGGAGAATATTGGTTTCCTCTGGCACAGCAGGGGCCTGGTAGGTAAGGATGTCCCAGCAGAGCAACTCTACTTGGCTCACGTACATGGCCAAGTGCTTGGATTTGATTCACATGACCTCAAGACATCTCACAACCAACTAAATACTCAAGAAAAAACATTCAGCAGAACTGATGATCTCCAAGCCCATCTTTTTTCTTTCTCCCTTGACCCCCCACCCCCCGCTGCCTCAGTTATCCTCAAAGAACATGAACAGACCTCCAAGGTTGGGTATCTAAAACAAGATATGTTAACTGTGTCTGAAAATAGTAGTCAAGGCCCATCCAGGGATACTCCCCAGCAAAGAGGCAGCCACAGTTTAATAGTTAAAAAGATCTACAGCAAAGCTTAACTGCAACTTCTGTTCAAAGCCAAGAGAAGCTCCAGCCAAGAGATCTGCTCTTGCTACCAGATGTCAGCCATTTGATAGGTACTTCATGAGGACTAGAAATTGCTCCATTCCAGATTTAATAATTACAGATTGCACTTTTTATAAATTCTCCACTCTAAGAATAATTCTGGCGCAAACTGGCTTCTGTATGACATTAAGTGAAGGCAAAAGTAATTCCTGGACAAATCTTTAAGTACGAGCTTTCTAACACCTCTTGGTTGATATTGATACAAAGCACGCAACATCAGGCAGCCCGGCCAAACATGTGCACACACATTCACAGATGAATCGTTTCCACTGCATGCTCCTCCTCCTGAAATAACGTTCAAAGACAACAGACTCACCCATTGCTTTCCTCAGCCTCTGGGCATTAGAGAACTAATTTTAAGCAACTCCTTATTATCACCTTCTTGTTTATTTGAGATGTCCAGAGTCTGACACCGGACACACCTCTGCCACTTCTGTGTGAAAAATGAGAAAGCATTTGTAGCAGCAACAGGCAGCACTGCGATAGCTGCTCAGCTCCAGGACCAGTACTCCCAGCATATGCCTCCATGCTCACATCCCCCAGCAAGTGCCTCCCATCTCTGTCCCTGCTGCTAGCAGCTCCCATGACATAGGAGCTCCACACCCTGCTCCAGGCATGGTGCTGGCATGAGTCCTAGCCTGGGGCAGCAAATGCTATGGATGCCCTGGAGCGTAAATAGCAGCATCACTCCCTGGGAACAGACAGTTCACAAATGGCATTGGCCATGGGGCAGAAGTTGGTTTGAAGAGTAAAGGCTGGTGATGCCCATGATGCAGTGAGTAGCTTCGCACGGTTGCTGCATCCTCTGCCCTCCAGCGCTGCTGGCGCACTGCTGTCAGGGGCTGTTTTGAGTAATGGAAGAAGCATGGTGGCTTTCTGGTCTAAATTATCATCATCAGATCTTCCCTGCATCATGCTTGCCTTTGATTTTTCAACTCAAGTTGTGTTAGTTTTGCACAACTAAATTTTTAACTAAAGCAATGTACGTACATTTTCAAGCAACCTCACCCAGCACTAACTCATTTCACATCAAAATAATCTGCTGCAAAGCTAAAGCTCTGTTTTAATTTCCTGGACAGTTGGGAACAAGCCGGCTCTTGCCTTTGCATAACGCTTTTTCCAAAGTGGGAGTTTTAATCTTTGCCGGTGAATGCAGACGCTTTGGAGACTGGCACTGTTCCCCTAATTTCCTACCATTTCCCCATGTAACTCCGGCACCACTCTTCAGTGAGCAAACCTCCCTGCAGCCAGTCAACGGCTGCAGCTGGTTGTCCATGTGCACGCATGCAAAATTGTCTAACACGCTGTATATCAAACTTCATCAAAGGGCCGTGGGACAAAGCAACAGCAGTTCCCTCCAACTTCCTTGCATTAAAAAGATTTTATAAAAGACCTTGATAAAACTAGCGTTTCCTGCTTTTTGATGTGCAAGTCAGAGAACATTATCATGATATCTGCACAGTCTTATAGCCCACCTAGGGAAAGTGAGAACAGGTCCATCTTTAAGTATTTTAAAGCGCCTTATAGCTGTCCTGATTCAGTGGTTAAAAAAATAAATGTTTTTTTACCTTTAAGGATCAATATTCACTCTGCTAAATGAAACCACTCAGGCAGTTGACTACATTCAAGCTATCGTGAGTGCTGAGTTCTCCCCAAAGCCTCACACTTCCAAACACGTTCGTGGCTTGGATTAAGTGCTTATTTATTGCATGCAGATCCTCACATCACATTGTGGTCACCCGCCTGCAACCGTAGGAGCACGTTAAGCAAACGGAATGACATCCTTCATGCGTCATTTCCTCTGTCTCCCCTTCAAAGTGCATCCCTCTGCCACTAGAGCCAAATACACCCAAAAGTGGATGGAGCTAGAGGAATTGTCCATGGTGACAACAGTGCCACCAGCCGTCAGTTTACAAGAGATGGGTGCTGCAATAAAAACTCCATTTCTTCCATGCTGATGTAGCAGCTGGCTTCTGAGTTTTTGTATGTCCTGAGGGCTGAGCACAGGTTGGCATGCTGGATCAGTTACCCATGCTGAGAGCCTTATCAGAACTGCCTGGCCAAGCACAAGGAGTGGATGCTCTCTGGATGCTTGGAGATGGGATGCTAGATGATTGAAGCAGATGCTTTTGATGAACCCCAGCTGTTTTATCTTTTGGACTGTTTAGTGAGGTTTCCCTAGGCACTGTTGTCCTTTGCATGGAGTGTGGATACTACAAGACAGAGCACCTCTCCAAAAGGCTGGAAGTCAAACAGCTGATCTGCACCTCCATGCAGATCCAAGCTCCCTGCTCCAACTTCCCAGACCTGAGAAAGGCTGATGGTCACTGAACCGCAGCTGTGAGTCAGAGCAAGTCTGCTTATGGTGACTCACCACCATCCCCAGAAATCAGCTCCCACTGGAGGCAGACCCAGAGCTGCAATACTGCTTGGCCTCTCCTCTGTTTGGTGCTACACCTTCAGATGTTGACCACATGTCCTCCCTCGGCTCCTGCACCAAGGGGTTCTTCAGCAAAGGGTGGTGATGAGAGACCCTGGTTGTGCTGTCCAAGGCAGGTGAAAGCTTTAGGAGGAACTTACTTCTTTCACCATCTGACACACAGGCAGATTTCTCTCCCTGTGACAGACAACTGCCTTCAGAAATCTGCTTGATCAGAGGTCATCTCAGCAGGCTCCTTGTGTCCTTTTGAGATATGCTTGTTTCCACAAGGTACTGAGGGCAATCTCTTAATTAAAGAGGCAGCCTAAAAACATTCAAACACACTAGCAAAGGCATTAATGCTGCCCAAGGTTTCACAGCTACCGCCAGCTTCAAATTGGTGTGATTGCTTTCTCCCAAGACTGAAATTTTTAGTTACATGTAGCCTAAGGAATCACACTGTGCTGTTGTTTTATTTCATGCTGTCAACCCTCAATGATTGTTTTGAACAGCTCCAGAGCCCATGTTACACCAGGACACCTGCAGCAGATACTGAGTGGGGATGGTCCCTGGGACTGCAGGCTGAGCAAGGACCTGCTTCTCTGAGCGAGGTGGAAAACTGATGCAATGCACTTTTGCAGTCTACTGTACCCATCCAGGAGTCAAACATTTGGATTGTGTGTGAAGAACAGGTGTCCAAAAAAACAGAATCATAGAATCAGTTAAATTGAAAAGGACCTTTAAGATCATCAAGTCCAACTGTTAACCTAGCACTGCCAAGTGCACTGCTAAACCATGTCCCTAAGCACCACATGAAAAAAATAAGACCAATGAACCAGAAGGGAAGCTTGACCCAAACTAACCAGTTACTCATACTCAAAAGTCTGCAAATTATACAGAAAAATGCCTCTTGAACAGAAGTGTATGCAATGGTACAGACATAGCAAATGCATCAAGAGCCCCAGTCTGGGATTTCACTGCCAGTATCTGATTTCTCTATTTCCTTGGTGCTGTATTTCTGTAGTACATGACTGTGAACTTCCTGAGCCCAAAGATCTGTCAAATGCTGCCACTCTGGACTTCTTAATTATCAACCACATTGGAAGAAATGTAGGTGTGAGCTGCCCGTTCGGTGCCAGCTACAGCGGATGCTGCTGGCTAGGCTGCATCAAGAAGGATGGGCACAGGGAATCTAAATAATTTCTTCCTTAATCCCACTGTGTGTGGGATACGTTAAGCTTGTACTTAAAGATGTGTCCAGGAATTACTTTTGCCTTCACTTAATGTCATCCCATTGTGTGTGAGTGTGTGAAAGGCAGAAAAGCAGAAGTATCTAAAGTTTCCTCTGTAGGAAAATACCCTGACCTCCCCAGAACCAAAAACCTAGATTTCCTTGGTGTACTTCTCTGTCTTGCTCTTATCTTGTAATCACATACCCTGGCCTTTCCGGCTGACTTCTGCCATACAGCTGAGCCTTTTCCAACACACCAATGTGCAGAAGATAGAAAATATAACATCAAGTGAAAAATACAATTGAAAACAATGACAAGCAAGCTGCCGCACGCAGTAGGTACAGACTGTAGTACTTAAAGAGGGGGTCTGCAAAGAAACAGGAATGCTTGGATAATGACTTCAGAAAGAAACTAAATGAATTAGTTCTTTTCCAAAGAGTATAAACCAAACTATTTGGATAAAAACTAAACCCAAATTAAATCCTTAGCTATTACAATCCTTATAATACAGATTGCCAAATACAGGTAGTTTTTAAACAAATAAAGCATGCACTCTTTAAATCAAGGTGTGTCAAAAGGACCCAATTCAATGATAAAAATTTGGTGGATTAACTGTTTTGGAGGATGAGAAGCCCAAATTCAAGGAGAGCGGAGGTTGTGGCCCCTGGTTTTGCCTGTCTCCATACCTCGTTTCCCAGCAAAGCAGAAACACACGCTTCCGAGGCATCGCAAATAGCGGTCAGGTCGTGGCCTCCTTCAAGAGCCAGGACGACGCGACCTCCGGCCAGGCCCATCAGCTGCTTCGTCAGGTACCCGAAGCCTGTAAGGAGGGAAAAGAGGAAATGCAGGAGAAGGGCAAAGGTTGAGGCTGGAATCAGGCTCCTGGCGAAGGATCAAAGAATTATAGAAAGGAATTACATCACATTAAAAAACCACAAGGGATCTGAAAGGACTCAACGCATAATATAAGCCAGGTTGGATTTTAATGCGTTCGCTGCAGAATTCCAGCCATAGATCCCCCCTGGACCAACTCAGCCGTGTGTGCTACAGGACAGATCCATATCTCCCCCACGAGCACTTCGCTGGAGTTTATCCCCAGTGAGAGGCATCGCCATCCTCCCTTCCACCCCTAAGTGCCCTGAATTAAATATAGCAGCAAGTAGCTCCTTTAGAAGGAACGAAGGAGGGTGGAAGGAGGCGGCTTTTTGCCCTGCTTTGGAAGATGCAAAGTCAGAGCAGTCATGGGGGAGGCATGGGCGAAGAGAGGAGGAAAAGGGGAAATCAGTAAAATTGCTGCCGGTGCTTTCAGTTGCGATAGCAGCATCGCAGTGCCCCAGAGATATTTGACATCTAGTTCTTAACAGACGTTTCTTCCTGTATATAATGTGCTATAAAAATTCCTGGGGCACCCAGGACTTTGATCATATTACACACAATACATTTCTACCCTTTAAACAAAACAGAACCAAGCTGTGAGGATTTAAAAAACATGTCCTCAAAGCAACATTCCCCCTCAAAAAAAAAAAAAATCCAAACAAAAGAAAATCCAGGGCATTTTTACCCTCCATCCAAGCTCCCTGTTTTCTGTTTTGCAGTGACCCCCATGAGCACTTTTGCAAATTGACAAATTATCAGCCAGACAAACAGATTCACGCCTGAGCCCATAACTGTTTCGTGAGCAGCAGAGCAAGGGAAATTCAACAAGCAGGTAAACAAGACCTTCTCATTACAAAGTGTTTCTGGATATTTTAAATAACTGGTCTCTTGTAAATCTATTTCACTTTATTATTATATAAAGTTTATAGGTTCAGCTTCCTTACAAGATTCTGAAGTTCACTGTAGAGAATAAGTTCCTGGCTGAAACAAACTCTTAAAAAATAATAATGAAATCCTTTTGCACAAAAAACTGTCTTCTCGATTGACTTGAATGAAACAGTGCCAGATAAACCCAGCATAACCAAGGGGAGGGGAAGGGATTTCAGTGCATCTCCTGTGCAATGCAAAACTTCACGTATCCAGAGCAAAAAGGAGGTTCTTATTGCCCCATATAATTGCTTCAAAGGTGGAGAACAAAAATATTCAGTTGGAATTTTTAATAAGGTATCTTGGAGAAATGGGCTTCTACTAGAATTCGGAGCAAGGTACACTGTTTACATCTGGCGTTGCCTCTTTCTGCAATTTTGCACTAAAACAAGCATAACTAATTCAGCAGCTGTCTTCTGCAGAGATGTCACTACAAACCAATTGATAACTTCCTTACATAATTTATTTGCACTCAAAATTGAATATGCAATGCTTCTAGAAAATGAGGGCTTCAGCCAGACCAAAATATATACGGTGCAGTGACAAAACACATGAAAATTCAAAGCAAAATGCGGAAAAGTTTGCCATTGAAAAGAAAGATCTAAAGATTGACCCCAAAATACAAAACCTGCAAATACTGTACTTTAGTCCCTAGGACAGCAACAATTTATACCACTTTCGGATATTGGCTCTTGTAAATCCACAACTTACATTTCGCTGATAGATTATATCCTCCAAGAGGTGTGGGATGGCCTTCCACTGCATCAAAACCAGATGACACCAGCACAACATCTGGGGCAAATTCATTGGCAATGGGCATTACTACCGTTCTGCAACAAAAATTTAACAATGGCAGATGTGTTACTTTGGCTCATGAACAAATGCAGGAACACTCAAACCACCTTGAACAAACCCATTATAAAACCTTGTACTATTATGCCACAGTAACGAAGTCCATCTCCTATCTTCTTACAAGGTGAGAGCCTGGCTGGCTGAACACCTTGGGCTGCCACACAGTACAGTTTTAAATTCAATCTCATGTTAGTTTTTTCAATGAGATCCATTATTTCCTCCATCAACAGCCTCATGTTTTGACCAGGAAACTAAGTTCTCTTATGTTGTGCTTCCCATTTGTGATCATGTCTTGCTTTACACACAGGGCACAAGGGGATAAGGAGAAAATAACAGAGCATCCGGCACAGGCTGCAAAACCCCCTGGGAAACCTACCCAATGGCCACCTTTGTCCGTGGCACTTGTCTTCGTGTTCTCCTTTGAAATACCTCCTTTAGCCTTTGCAGCATCTGCGAAGCTATTAATTTTTTCCCTGCTGCACTTCTCATTTACCATAATGAAAGGCTAGAGATGTCACATGGGGCAAAAAGCTCTAATGTGCAAATATCCCACCCAAATACACCTCTCCAAACTCTGGTTCCCCATCCTCTGACATTTTGTTTGCAAGAAAATGGACTGAATTGCTTAGCATCCATAAACTACTGCCTGTACAGGCCAGTATTTAAATGAAACAAGAGGTCTGTGTCTGTGGTTCCTCAGTAAAAGGCCTTTTCCCTCCGTTTTCTCTCTTCAATCTACGCAGTTTCTGTTCAAAACCTACACGAGGTTGCAAACACCCCATTTCCCACGTCAAGATGCCACCTAAGCAATACTGGAAAGCTGAGCAGAGAGCAAGCAATTGCTTCTCCGTCTAACAGCTCCAGCACAAACATGGCAGAACTGAAATTACAGCAAGGAAAAAAAGTCAAAGCAATGGAACTTCTTAATAAACATGATGCAGACACCCACAATCTTTCCTGATTAAGAAAGCTCATTGCAAGCCCTCTTGGATGAACACCTTTTTGTGCCTTCAGTTCATGCCAGGGTACCCACGTGCACGGGCTTGAAAGTTGTTTTGAATTCTTCAGTTGTGCACTGCAGGAAACTGTGGAAAAGTGAGGAGATGCAGAGAGGGTTGTAAATCTCCATCTCAAGGCCCTTTATATAGAGTAATATTTTCCAAATTATGTTATTTTTCCATTATAAATGTACTCACAGAATCTTGGATGTATCCCTAGGGCAACCTGACCAATGCCGCCCCTGGCTGGTAATGAAGATGATAGTACTTCCCCATTTCCCCATCCAAGGAACAGCTACACACAAGAACTGAAGTTATTCATATACCAAAGCATGAACCTGTAGGTGTCTTCACGTACATGAAAACTTCACTTCTACTGAGTACAGTCATTATGTGATGCATGGAAAAACAGAAAGAGCCTAGAAAGGTCTGTTTAGTGCTGAGATTGCTCAAGTGCTATCAAGACACGCATAAAAACGGACCTCTCACTACAACAATGTTAAACAGCTACAAGACATCTGCTAGCATCAGCAACTTGTATTAGCCTCGATGCCGATCTGAGCTCATACCATTTTGCCTTCCACAGAGTTTATTTTTAATAGAATATGAAAATCTACCACACAATGAGCTACTTCCAGTGTTGGTAAAACCCATCAAGTAGTTTCCATTGCCACTACTGAGCAGGCAGGCACATCACAGGTCTGGTCAAGGCACTCAAACACCAAGTAGTCCAAAAAAAAAAAAAGCAAAGCTTTAATTTTTTAAAACTAATTGCCACAGTAACCTAACAGCCTCCTGCACGCTTCCCACCTGCCAGTCTCTGCACACATAGAAACCTATGCAAAAAAGATCTTATTTCCTTTTAATTCTTACAAAATGCAAAAGAGGAATTTTAATTTTTTCCCTCAAACAATGTGATTACTGTATACATTTTGTCCTCAGGGAGATGATTACATAAGGAAGAAAAAATCACACCATTTTTGCTGAGGACTTTACAATCGACAAAAACCTGTTCAGTGAAACCCACAGACATTTTAAGTAGAAACCAACCGCCTTCATAAAGGACTAAAGCAGCAGGTTTCAAGCATAGTTTTGGGTTTGTTTTGTTTTTTTTTTTTTCCCTGAGCTTTGAGGTATTGCTGAGCTCTTTAATTTCTAACTGAAGGAAAACTGCTAAAATAATCAGACTTTTTTCCCCCCAAAGTTATGGGGGAGCTGCTAATACCTCAACTGATGTATGGGACAACCATAAGCTGGTTGTAGAGCAACCCCAAACCTGCACCTAAGTTGTGGGCATTGTCTGTCAGCACCGAGCAACTCATGCAACCCCAAATTGGTAACGATTTCTTGGCCATGGGACAGCTCATCCACTGATGCCCAAGCGCAAATGTGCCAGAGGAAGAGGGTCAGCCAGTGAGCACTGAGATGGTGCTGGCAATGCTTCGCTGAAGGTCCCAGTGTGGTGACAGTGGTTCAAAGATACCCTCTAGTGGCACAGCCACTAGTCGCACTGGGGGTTAACTGTGAACACTGTATAAATTTTAGGGGAGAAAAAGCAGTGGCTGCTGTTTAAAAGTAAATCAATTGGTATTTGATGATAATTAGAAGTCGTCACTTTGAGTATGTCCGGAGTTTTCTCTGGTGTAGGACGGGGTGATCTCACAGACGTAACTGGCTACCCCAGCAAGTACCTTACACTCTGAGCAAGTATTAGTGGTGCTCTGTATACATAGTAAAGTATTATCAGGTCCCTCAGGGTTTTAAAAACATGTGTCACAGGTACCCTGGCTCCCCTGTCCGAGAGGAGCCAGGAGAACAGACGGACAGTCTGTTACCCATGGGACGGGTGCTGCATGCCAATCCCAGACAGAGGCTGCCCGGGAGCTATGTGTGTTCAGGGGCTGCCAGAGGAGAAGTGCAAGATGACAGGGTGTCAGAATAAATAAGCTAATGATGCTTTTGGTACCCTGACCATCACAAATCCATCCAAACTGAAGAACACTCTCAAATCCAGACTTGAATGCTTACCCTCAGCTGTGACTCCTACCAAAACTTCCCTGGGCTGCTCTTTCTTCTGACTTTCTCCTAATTCCAGTGTTACACCAGTACTCCAAAGTTGTGGTCCCACCTCTATTTGTTGCTCACCACGTATGTAAGCAGCTATATTTTTGGCCATAAAACTTGATCTATGAGGACCAAAGCTCTCCTGCCTCTCAGCACTCCCTCCCTCCATTTTTCCCATTTTAATTGTGGTAAAAAAAAAAAAAAAAAAAAAAAAAAAAAAAAAAAAAAAAAAAAAGAAGAAAAGAAAAGGGAAAAAGAGAAAATTTAAGACACAAGCAAATGAACTGCTTTCAAACAATGTCTTTCTGAGATTTCATCTGTGGGCAGTGTTTCAGGCACATCTAAACCCAGTCTCTTGGTTTTTAATTTTTCTTGTGCACAGATGAAAACAGCCTCTTTGCTCAGTTCCATTACAGTAAAGCTAAGTCCCCAGATAAAAGCAACAATTAAACTGCAAACAACCCTATGGCTTTGCCCTGGTGATGATACTATAAAAAAGCCAGAAAGTTAAATTGCTATCAAGAAGGTAAGCAATTTTGTCTGGAACTGGGTCTTTTAACTAATGGCTAAGGTGGCTGTAGTTACTCACCAAGGAATGAAAGGGTTTGTAACACTGAATATTCATTCAAGCCATGCAGCATTTTTTAAAATACAAGGATTACTGTTAAATTTCCTACATTTTAGAGTTGTTTTGCTTGCTTAAAATAAAGTAAATCTTTTCATTTGACTCTGATTACAACTAAGCTGAACAGCTATGCATTAGTCAATACTGACGGCTGCAAACAGTAAAAATTACTGATCATGTTCTGCAATCATTTGGGGGAGAAAAAAAAATACGATTTTATATATATTTTCCAGAAGACTGAATAATTTTTAGTCTGTTACTAGCCAATTCACCAATTAAACACCTAATAAATGACAGGCAGATTAAACAATTCTACAGAGGATTTTTTTAAAATGCTCAATCGCAGCGAGCAAATTGGTGAACCTTCAAAGGCTGAGCACTTTTTTCAGAGACTCTTTCCTACTGGTGGCTATGTATCTATCTATCCATCTACCTATCTATCTATCTCAAAAACATCTGCTGCTCCTAAAGCAGACTCCGGTCTTTGTTTCTCCACGCAGCCATCTCCATGGTCATTTACTATGTCAAAAGGGATTAGTAGTTTGGGGACAAAATCAGCATCGGGAGGGCATGAAATCTCACATACAGAAACAACCGTTCCAGGCAAAACATCATCGACTTCCCCAGCCCCACCATCACTTACTCACTCCTGAAATGGTTTATGGATCGAAGGAAAAAACAAAATCCCCCTGCAATTGGCTCCTGAAATCATTTAACACTTTCTGAGAAAGGCAGAAGGAGGGACCTTTCAAACACAGTCCTGGCTTTTGCTTCTGTTTTAGGTGTTTTAAATAAAAATAAAACTAACACAGAATCAAGCTGTATATGGAATTGTAATTGTGGAGGAGACCTCTGTCCTGGTAGGGAAAAAATAATAATAATAAAAAAAATCGTACGAGACTACACAACTGCTAGAATCATCAGGAAAACTTTCTTACAGTAAATTCAGAAGAAAACTCCTGTGGATAATACACCTTAATTTCACTAAGTAATTGCTGTTCTCATGTAATAAGAAACTAGCGGCAGCCTTTGTATTTTTTCTGCAGGTCCCTTAGCCAGGTTTGCACACTCTGCTTTTCAAAACATCATGAGGATTTGTAGAAGCAAACATGATTTCTGCTTGTATAACAAGTTAGGTAACTACAGACTCCAATAAAAAAAACCCAACTGTTTTTTTCCTCTTTTTTTTCTTCAGCGATGAAGACCAATAACATTTTGATGAGTTAAGGACTTCTAAAATTATATGCCCTGCATTTTTCGCATTAGAGTTTAATACATTTCTGCCTAATCTGTGAAATCTGTATTGCCTAAATACTTTGGTGGTGAGTTCAGCCGTGGGACCTTTGCCCAGCAAACGGTCAGTTAAATTATAATGTCATGCTGTCTCGGGCAGGCAGAGCCACCGCTACGATGGGGTGGAGGTGCGCCAAGCTCACAGCAAACTCCCCAGATCCCTTCTGCACTTCTTATTAGTGACCGGGCTGACTCCACCCTGCCGCCCCCCCCCCCAAAAAAAAAAAAAATAATACAGCAATCATGATATCACCCCAACCTTGAGATGGGGCAGCTGGTGATTTCAGCCCTCGGTTATGAAGACAATAAGCAACAAAGTGCACGGCAAGGCTGCTCTCCGCTTTGCATTTTTAACTCTTGTTCTCACTTTTGAAATGGCTTGGCATTATTAGTAAACATTGAGAGGTCAGGCTATGCTGTCCAACTGAACGCTGTACTGCAAGCAGGGGGAAGCCAATATTCATAGAAGAAATTCTCAGTAGAAAAATCATTGATGCAAGTTACCATCCTCTCTTCAGAAAGAGGAAAACTACACTGAAACAGGTTTTCAGTGCCGGGATGATAGGTTTCATTGGGATTTATTTATTCATTCATCAGAAGATTAATTTATGAGGATGATTATTTCAGTTATTATTTCATTAGAGCACACGCTTTTATCAAATCCATACACCAGGTCATCCTGAAATAGAACAAAAAAAAAAAAAAAGAAAAGCATGTTGCTTATTTTCTTCTGCTCGCTTTATATAGAAAGAGGGCTTTCTTCCCTAAAAGCAGACAAGTACATGAAGAGTTAAGGCTTAAAAAAAAAAAGATGAAAAAGTATATCAGTATCTTTGCCTAGCTCAAAGGATTTCCACTGATTCCTCTACAGACTTCAAAGCCTCACAGTTTGGCATTTGGACTGGTTTGAATTAAAGCTCAGTTCTCCACTGTGAGTTTCCAAGTTCATGGTGAAAATGCCTGCTGCTTCTGGAGTTCATTATGGCCAATTTTCTTATCTTTTCTTCATCTTAGGTTTGATCCCCAGCAAATGCAACGTGGCATTCGATGGGGTGGAATAACAAGGTGCTGCCTTGAAGGCATGCATTGTCTCAAGGGGCTAACGCAAGAAAAGAAAAAAAAAAAAAAAGGATATATGACCTATTCCCTTCACTTTCTAACTCTCGGGGGACCATAAATTGCAAACTTCAAAGAGTTATTTTACATTAAAATCAATAGAAAGATTCGGGGGGGAAAAATGTTTTTCAGAGAAGCTGCTTAAGATTTAAAAAGGTCACTTGATAATGTATTATCATGACCAAACTTGGCATAAGATTAAAAAAAAGCTGCCAATTTAACTTATTGACTGAAGGTGTGCACATGGGGCAGACTATGGGAGGTGCTACCTAAGAGGATGAGTCACAGTGTCCCTTGGCTTCCCAAAATCCCAGGAAAATAAGGGCTCTGACTAGCTCCAAAGTATGTTCCCCAAATAGCTGCAGTTTCTGGGCAAAAAGACACCAGTGCCTATTAAGGAACAGCTGGCAAAGGTCTTACTGTGCAGACTGAGCAATTTTCCAGGAGCCTTGAAACTCAATTAATATTTAATAGCAAGCATGTCACTCCATCGCGAGCTACAGGTTCTCTTTATAATGAAGAGATCAGTCTTGTTGACTGCTGGGATAAACAGACTTCCACTTTGGAGGAAAGTGCTGCTTTCCTGTAACAGGAATGAAACACTGAGAAAAATGACAGTTATTTGACTAGACGTTATTTTAAATTGTACACATTCTGTGAAGGCTTTTTAATGGCAGGCTGAAGAGTAAAAGCTCTTTTTGCTCAGTATAACAGAATACAAAGAGGTGCACAGGGAAGAACAGAAAATAATGCTCCCAGATTTAATATTATTCCAAGAAGGTGATATTCCATCTGCCTGTCACCAGAAATTAGCATCCCATGTTTTGGCAAGTGTGTGTTTCCCTGAATTTATGCAGGGTGGTCGCCAGAAGTGCACTAAATCTGGTTTAAGGGCAGAAAACCACTTCAACTCATAATCGTTAAAAAAGATGGCAGTTGGAGAGGACGGACCAAGAGAACGGGGGAGGCAAGGGTTGGAACAGGACAGTCTCTAAGAAAAGTAAGGCCCATATATCCAGCAGGTCAGAGAATTATATTCATTCTCCTGGACAGAGTATCAGAAAGTGTGGTCTCAAACCGGCCTCTATTCACTACTGCATTACTTACAAGTTCTCCTCTACCCAGAGATCCACTTTTATTTCACTCTTGTTATTCTGTTGCTTCCATAGTTAATTTTAATCTCTTCCTTTTCCCGTTCTCTGCAGCTCTGGGAGCCAAATGCATCACTCCAGGCTTGCAACAAGTCCCCAAAATGCCAATGATGGACAATCACCCTATTGGGGTATTTTACCCATTAGCTGCTGAGAGTAGCAAGATGATGTCCAGCCCATACTCATGCAGTGCTCCTGTAGTGACACACTGCTCAGAGACACCACAGCCATGACCATAGATCAGCTAATGTGTGTTTTGCTTCACGCATCTCTTCCGAAGGTGCTGATATCAGGGTGAAGGTAAGGATCAGATCAAACAATTCCCTGCAGATCGTATGCTTCTGAGAGCAGGACAATAAGACCAGCAGGACATGAACAAGTAAATCAACAAGTGGCTTCATCCCCTGCTCCATTTGGAGACTCAAATGATGCCAGTTTTTTGGAGCATGCTAGAATATGCTTGTACAACCCAGCACAGTGGTTTATATCTGGCTTTACTATTGCTGCTAATCAAGGAGCATATCCCAGCAACACATTAATTCAAATCCACAGCTTTGCAAACCTTCATTCACACTCTGACAGTGAGTGATGAGTAACACTTGTTTAAGAAATGGTTGCATTTTTATTCATAACACACAACATGCTGCTTCTGAGGAGAAACCAGAACCCAGTAAGAAAAGCACAAACCCAACGGTTCAGTCGTTTCAATTTCCAGTTGGTTGGAACAGGCATATTCAATATCTTGGGTGAACAATAACAAAATCTAAAGCTAATCAAAACAAGTCCTCGTCCCTTTGCTAGGTACACTTTGGAGTGAGCAGGTGTGTGAGTTGCGAGCAGAGCTCTTGCAGGGGAGGGACTGCCGGGCCAACTCGCCTTGAAGTCAGGTACCATCGTCTGCAGTGCAGTAATGACGTCTCAAGCCTTGGGGCAGCTGCAGTCCCAAGCTTCAACTCATGATGACTTGTGAAAAAGTTTTTCTGGGTTCCCCTCCCCATCCAGGTGGGTTCACCCATTGAAATACTCACCCCAAAGAGGTAAAAAGATTTTTAGTGAAAACCAAAAGACCTTATTCATATCAGTTGAAATTTTACACTTATGCATCAACCAGTGCCGAGCAGCGAGTATGTCAATCGCCTAATGTCAGTCACACTTCTTATGGCCAGAAATATCCTATTTACTTAATTCAGTTTTATTTTTATTATGGTACTCCAAAAGTAAGTGCAACTAGATGTCAATCCTGTCTTTCTAAACTTAGTAAGAGAGAAACTCAAGATTAAGGAGGACTGCAGCACGAGGAAAAGAATCTGAGTTTAGGTGAAAAATATGTTTGTAAGAGGAAATCTTCAATATTACCTGAAAGCAGTTAAGTATTCTGTGTCTCCCATCGGTGGATCAAGGCCACCAGTAAAGGCCATGTTAACATTGAAACCAACTCCTGCTCCTGTGCCAACCTGAAAAAGGGAGATGGTACTCTTAATTACACATATGGAAACAGTGAACTCTGGCAACACATCTCTGCTGTCTTAATAAGTTTCTTCCTGTTGAATACGGATTTTGATTCAATAGCTTGGTGGTAGTGAGGTTAATCTTCCCCTCTAAAGTGACCCGGTCCTCAAAACAAAAGTGAAAATAAAGTTCCTCCTTCCTCCAATCTTTATGGGAGCCATAGACCAGTGGTATTTGACTGCTGCTCACCCAAAAAACACCTCATCATCAACGGGATCCTTTTCCCCTTTTGCAGGAGAATGTGTTACATGTGATACCTTTCCTTAATTCATTTACAGCTTTATTCAGAAGCATATTTTTATATTTCAATACAGTTGCAACTGGGGGGAAAAAAACCCACAGTTTTAATAAGAGCAAGCTCCCCCTCTGCTGGGGAAAAATAAGATTCACAGAGAAGAGACTTTTGCTGCTTGAGGGACACGTGGGTGGTAAATGTGAGTCCATCCCCATCGTTGCATGAAGTGCAAACGTTCTCATCTGCACTGACAGCAAACACCTGAGAAAGGGGAAAACTGAAAAATAAACCAGGAGGCTCTAGTAATTTATTTGCTAAGAAGCAGGGCCATGTTTTCCCCATCCACATCAAAACCAAAAAGCCTGTGTTCAGTCCCTTCGTCAAGCAGGGACCTTGCTGCTGCCTGAGTGTGGGCTGTGGGTCCCTGGGGATAGCAAGGGAGTTGGGCAGTATCTGCTGCCACTGGGCATTGGCAGCTCTGCACAGGACTCTGAGCTCCTACATACAAAGTTTGGTTTTAGTGGGGTTTTTTTTAGGTTTCTGCGTATGAAAAAAAAGTAAACTGAAAGCTAATGTGTTATAAAAAACAAAGCCAGATAATTCAGGCTAGATAAATCTGCATGGCTTTTATTGCACATTCTGCCTTGTATTCGTGCAAATACTGCTGGTAGAAAGACACAGCGGGTTCATCCATCCACAATGGGTTATTAATCCATCTGTGGCTTTAACTGAATTTGGTTTGTATTCTTTGTCTTATTTGGTCTGGAATGATACACCTAAAATTACTATAAATAGACTAATATAAATAAAATACAAATGTAAATATGGACTGGATGGTATAGTCCAGTGTTTCCTTACAACACTAGATATTTTGTAAAAGATATTACTAGATTAATAAATGGTCAGAAAAAAAATAGGTCTGAGACCTTTGTGTATCCTGTAGCAAAAACTAAGCCTGATGGAAAGGGCTGCTGTTTATTCACTACAACAATAGTGCACAAACAGGGCAATGACACAGTATCATGTTATGTTTAAGTTTCTTTAGAAACCGAAATGGCAACATCGACTTTTGATGAATGGGAAAATGTAAATTGACAGGGTAAGAGCTCTAGGTGTTTTGAGATGTAATCTGGAGTGCCTCAGAGTACACAAAACTAAGCATTTTATATAATTTCTCTTTGATAAATCACTCTGGAAGGACAATATTTCCTGTCAACCTATAGGGAAAAGAAGGACGTGACGGATGTAGGAGCATCTACCCAGGGTCTAGGGAGAAAGGTCTCCCACCTTCAATGGTCCAGCCCTTTTGCTGTAGGCTCTGAGGACACCATCAGGAACCAGTGGATTTGGTCCAGCAGTATGAATGACTGGTGCTCTAATCCCACCACTTAACGCAGAAGTGGCAGTGAGCGATGCCTTGGCAGGGCCAGGAGAAGGGGAGGATGGATGGGCTCCGAGTCTGTGCCAGGAAACCCGAGCGCCGGTGGCACAGCCATGGACAACTTGTTCCTCCTGCATCTAAGAAACAACTTACGCCTATAAGGGGAAAATCCTGAAAAGTACATGAAGTGCTGGGACAACTGGCAAAGGGCTCCTCTGGAACAGGTTGTCCCATAAGGCCTGGAGAGCCTAATTGCATCGACTCATTTTTGGCTTGTTAGCCAAGGCGCACGCTTTCCTGCCAGCTCGCAGGGCAGGACACAATGCCCACGTCTGTTAGGACTTGAACGAGAAGGCACCAAACGCACAAACCCAAGCGACACATTCCCAAAGGGCACTAACAAGCAGGAGCATGTGGGCAGAGGCTCCCCAAGATTTTTGGAGGCACCTGAATCACAGCCCCGAGCAGGTCCTATCAGACACAGATGCATGCTATGCTGATACATGCTCTTACCTCATCGGGAGCACCACTGCCTGGAAAGAAGTTCCCATCATCATAGCGATGTAGTGAAATATAAAGAACATTAGGATCATTGTAGAAAGCTTGCTGAGTACCATTCCCGTGGTGAACATCCTTCAGGGACAGAGATTGTATTATATGAGGGAGGTTAGTACCTTAGTAAAATCACAGATTAAAGCCATCAACTTGGAATTTGGAAGGGTTTTCTTTGCTGCTGTGCTTTGTTTTCTGCGCTTCTCTGATCTAGCTGAAGCAGTTTATTGCAAATGAGAGTAATCAGCTTTGCACAGCTGGCTTCAGGTTACAGTCCTTGCTTAACACGTGGGATAAATGGGGGTAAACACAATCTCAAGCATATATCAAAACTGAGGACAGGATCAATTTATTTGGAGAGAACTGGATTCACACCCAGTCTTGGGGGGGGGGGGCAGACTACATTAGTTACCCCAAATTTGCATTTTTAATTGGTTTGTGGGGTGATACAGATGCCCAGCAAAGTTCTGTTGGACCCAACAAGGTTAAATGACACAAACCCATTACCCAGATCCCCTATTGCATTGCTACTTGATGCAGAAACACAGTCTGTAACAGGGTGGGTATTCAAAATGCCCCTTCCTGACATGAAAAACAGGTGTTGGGAAGTAAGGGAAAGGATGTTCATCCAGTAAGTCAAAAAGAAAAATACATCCATTTTAACTTGTGGGTCTAGCCCATGGCAGATTTGTGGCAATATAATCAAACTCTTGACCGATACCCAGCAACTCAAATGCCTTCACACCCACATAAATACATTTTTAGATCCACTAAGAAAAAGAATAAATCTATCAGCCACATTTTTAAATCTATACATCGCCACAGCAAAATCCCAAACAAGCTCTTTCTCAACTCTGCAGACAGAGTATTTCACTCTCCTGTTCCAATTTAGAGATCGCTTTTGACTGCCTGCCCACTCACACGAAGGCTGCACTGGCCCAGAGGTAGGACACTGAGACCATCCAGACCAACAGCCAAGCCATGCCAGACAGCCTGTCCCTCTCAGTAAGCAGTCTTTACATCTTGAAAAGAAAGCTGGGATGGATTAAAGTCAAAACCTTCAGTAAAAAAAAACCCAAAGCCAGCATGGTTTGCAATTTATCCATCCTTGAGACTGCATTATGGGCTTGTTTCAGAAAGCAACTATGTATTAATTACTATTTTATTCTGAAACCTATGTGCTCTTTACAACACTTTTTCTTTTATTGAAACACTTTAATGAAAATACACACATTTTAAAAAACAAATTTTGGCTTGCAGACCACATGCTACATTTTTTTTTCCACTGACTTACAAAGCCAGACTTGCCCTTGCAAGAAAAAAACCAGAAAAAAATCCACCTGCTCTCCTGAAGGGTAAGAACCGGCATTTACTCACCCAGTCCACTATAAGGATTTTGCTAACATTCAGCCTTTGCTGGAGCAGCTTGGCTGCGATTGCCACGGAGTTAAAATAGCAGAAACCCCTGGAGGTGATGAGAGCAGGGAGACAAGAGGAAAAGGAGAGGTGTTAACTATAGGTTTGCTTGGTCCCAATGCATCTATCATCTAGATATTACACAGTAGGAAGAAATTTCTTCTGCTTTCACTCTTCTTTCTTGCCTGGAAGATGCAACAGATGTTAAATTAGAGACACAGAACAGCCAGGCAGCAGCAGGTGTCTGATGATCTCTCTGGAAATGGGGAACATTTCGCACTTGCCCAAACCCGCTGCTTGGTGCCAGCTGCCCACGGGATCTCCAGCACTGTGTGCAAGGGAAGGGGACAGGAGCAGATTGGGAGAGGACGCGGCAAGAAGGAAAGAAAGGGAAAGGACCCAGAGCCAGACCACTATGGTGCATCTGCTGAGAGGGAGCCGACATGCTCAGAGAGGCCTCAAAATGCTGGGTTGAGGGGAATTCAACAGCAAGCACTAGTCTGCCACTAAAGAGTACTGAAGCACCTAAGACACAAAACTTCAGCACACATTAAGCTAGATACACAAAACCAACATGATTTATGCACAGGACCCTGATTTGAAAACAGTCTGACAGCAAAACCCCTGTTATATTAAAGACACACAAGATGCCTGACTTCAGCTTTTGCTTTGCGAAGCCTTCCCACTCTGACAATCTCCTAATTCAGTGTTGTGACCCCAGGACACAGTTATGTTTGCTATTACTACTGTTAGTTGCGTACCCGTGCTTTCCTCACACTGGACAAGCCATCAACATTTAATTTAAAACAATTCACATGAGTAAAGCAAATAAAAGCATCCGTGCTTCTTCAAAGCATGACTGTAATGCTGATTCTTGCTAAGAAATACCCACCTGAAACCACTAAGCAGGATCTTGCCCTCTTCCAGAGAATTACTGGGAGCTTTGAATACAATGTTGGTTTGTATATCAATAAGCAAGAAATTATGTAATAACAACCTAACAAACTACCTTTCTGATTTCCAGCTGTTGAACACATAAGACGAGCACTGAAGCAAGCTGAAAAAGCACATACGCATACTTACATGGGTGTGCTCTCTTCTGCGTGGTGACCCGGAGGCCGAACAACAGCAAATCCATTCTACACACAAAAAATAAGAAAAGGAAGAAGTGAGACAGGAAAGGGGGTTTATCGCACAAAGACAGATGCAGAGGTTGCAGCCAGAAGCTTTAATTCTGCTTTGGAACTATGTAGTTGTTCTCTATCGTTTTCTCACAAGACCACAGCAGTGGATGATGCTCTCCCTGATTCTGGAGGAGGGAAAAAGGACCACATGAATTTTATGGAAACTGGCTGGTACAGCATTTCCTTCGATTCAGGAGAAAAAAAATAATATTCTGCATGAGGTCACTGAAACAGCAAATGGGCTGGCCCAGCTGAAGGCAACAGCAAGATCCTCAGATAACACTGGAATAGTGATTTCACTTGCTGCTCTGGTTTTTTTCTTCCTTTTAATCGGTGCGTAAGAACATTCACCAGGAGTCTGTCGCTCACTTGCTGATATCCTCAAAAGATTTTTATGACTAAAGCCAGATGGTGCCATTAAAATGAAGCTAAATGGACCTCCTGCATAACACAGCCCTGAGCCGAGTCCTGTACAAAGCCTATATCAAAGCCAAGTGTTATTTTCATACCAACCTTCAGTTCTCCCGTGGCTACTTTGAAAACGAGTTCAATGACACAGCCCACGGCTAGTCGAGCAGCACCAGACGAGTGAACTTCATTCCAAATTGTGTCACTGTCGACCTAACAGAGACACACAGCAACCATGTTTAGGAGCAATGAGGACAGACAGGAAACAGACCCACATTTTATAAAGAAGTTATTCATATGTATTAAATACATAAATTCATCAAATGCATATTTATGCATTAAATTTGAATGTGTTAATTTTAAATGTATTAAATTGCAGAACTTATCTCAGCAGTATCAGGGCTAGGACCCCACCAATGACTGTAACATCACAACTACTGAGTGTCCATCCAACCAAACAACCCTCAAGAGATGACCATTTGCAACAGCTCTGCAATGCTAAAGGGTCAGTGCCATAACAGAGAAGCAAATTCACCATCTCAAGCACTGCAAACTTGCAGGTGTCTCCTACCAATACTCCTACCAGCACCACAGTACCAGTATTTCTCTTTAATTGCTGGAGGAAACTGATCCTAGATGAAAAAAGGTTTACGAAATCATTCAATGATTCTACAAAATAAAAAAACCAACAAAACAACACAATGAGGAAGGATGTTTAATAATGGACATTTAAAAGATGCCTGCCCAGGACTGCCAGGGTAAGGTGATGCTGACAGTGGCTTCCCTGGGGAACCATAAGATCAACCTTGTCTCATCAAAGCTAACAACAGACATCTAGCTGCTAACTACAGACATTTACTTCAATGCTAAATATTTGACAGGACCACCATCCTCTATATTTCCCCCCCTGAAGATTTGGGGGTAGAACAAAGGCAAGGCAAGGCAAGGCATCCTGCAGACATCCCCATGTCATTATTATATGGGATCAAGTCCTAATTTAAACAAAAAGTGAGAAGCTTTTGGATTGGCTTTTACCACATCCATCCAAACAACCATACAAAGACAAGATTTTCTTGCAGACAAATGCCTCTTCATTTTTTTACTGCCATTCAGTCACGACTCTGTGGAAAGCAGAGGGGGAAGGACGACTCCCAGGGGGCTGTTTCCAGGCTGAAGCTCTGGATCTCCTCTGCTGCACCCCCAGCCATCTTGCACACAGTGATGAAAGTGAAGCTTGTTTGCTTCTTGCCAGTCACAGCCTTTGCAAAAGCCAGACTGCTGGGAATGTCCCATGTCAGGACAGCTTAGCTTCCTGGGAACATCATAGGATAAACGTAACATTTCTCCGTGTGAAGGATCACCAGCTATTTTTCACATTTTACTCTGTGTTTCATGTATTTATAGCAACAATGGCAAAGAAGGAAAGAGATTATTTATTTTGTCTGGCAACCAGCCTGCTCACTGAGCTGTGGGGAGATGCAAGTCACTCCACGTAAGATTGATCCACCTCTTTCGTGGCTGTGCTAAAACCAGTGGAAATCATTCCAAGCCTGTTATCAGGGATAGCTTCTGGCAGCATCTGCCCTGAGGATACTTTTGAAGTCACAGTAAACCAAGAAGGCATTCGGAGAATACCAAAAAGTTACCACTGTGTGGTAATGCTGCCAATACATGCACTGTCTCGGACTCTGGGGAAAGCCACCACATTGGTGGAAATGCTCTACAGTGACTATTAGTGGTACAAGGGCTCCCCGGACCCCCATAAATTCAGTGGGTCCCAACTGGGAACAGAAGCACAATGGGGTCTGAGTTATGCATGACACCTCCATGAGTCCTGGATCAGTACCGCACACGTGCAGGAGATGGGACTGATCTGACCACATCCCTCCAAAAGCCCTTAGCAAGGTGCAAAGAAGACCAAGCTGTTTCTCCTCCCCACCAAACAGCATGCTAGTGCTCTCCGAGGGTCCATCTTTGGGCTGCTCGTCAGCAGTCCTGTAAAAACATTATGGGATGGTCAACCCGCTTTGCAATCATGATGACACTACTATATTCTCTCGGGGAATCCAGCAGTCTTCATCCTCAGGTCCTCTCCCCCCAGCATCTGTTAGTGGCAGAGACTCATGGTTTAAACAACAGAGAACATCTACTTGTCTTTTGCCAAGGGCTGACAACCTCAGTGCCCTTGGACTCACTTTGCTCAAGTGAGATACAGATGCACCATGTAGTCTGGACTGAGCATATCTAACCCATCTTTCTTGGTCTTGAAGGAAAATGCTGCAGGATACCAGTAGCTAATAGCTTCCCTCTCTGCCCTTCCAAAGCAAGTACCAAGCCCTTCCACGGATGCAGAATTGCAGAAGGCCACCTTCATTCACCATGACACACCAGAGGAACAGAAATACAACCCCCCCAAAATTCGCATGTGCTGAGCATGGCTTTACCTAAGGGACCAACAGACCCTCAGGTGTCCTCAGACATCTGTTCATGCCAGCCGCAAAAGTCACCAGTGCCTGAGCCACACACCGCCACGTTCAGGCCCTTTGATGCCTGCAGAAACCAGGCTTGTGTTGGCAGCATTTCAAGAAGAACGAGGAGGGCAAGAGAGAGTGGCTTTAAAGAGTTATTATTTCTGCAGAAAGAAATTAAGTGCTTAGAAAAAAACATTCCACCTGTGATTTAGAAGCCAATTTCAAGGACTCTGCCATGCTCCCACACTCAGCTCCCCAGCAGGAGGAGGACTGGACCCAGAGATGTCTGCTGCCACCCGCAACCTCTCCATTGCCCCATCCTGCGTGCAAACATCTCCAAGATAAGGATTTAACACCCAACCACCTTCCCCAGAATGGATGTCTGGAGACCACTGGGCCCTACTCCAAGGCAGCACTTCATCATCTGTGTGACTGCAAGTGTTTGAACAGTCCCACTGAAGCCATCAGTGCTCTTCAGCAGGGGGGACGTAGACTCTGCCATGGTGGAAAATGTTATTAACGTGGCCCTGAACTGGATTGCTCTCCAGCTCTGAAGCTGCTGCTGTTTGGTGCATGGGCTGCTGTTGACCCCTCCATCATTCCTGAATTCTGAAGTTCATTACAGGGCAGACGCTATTTGGCTTTCTCTGCCTACAAGCTCTTTGATGTAGCTGCCATTATAGGAGTTGTTGCTGGGACAGCACATCAAGCCTTACCATCTGGAAGGACTTTATGGAGAGAGGAAGCATATTTCTTTCCTTTTGTTGATCCAACAGCATATATTTCCTCTTTTTTCTCCTGAGCTGGAGGATAAAACTGCGTCAGAGATCCTGAGTCTTCCACATCTGCTGTTGTTGGATGAGGAGCGGTTGTCCTTGTCTTCTTGAGAATAATATTAATGCCTCACTCATTCTAATAAATAAGCTGCCATTTCTGCTAGATGAGGCCGTAGGATAGGGCTCCTTTAGAGGTGGGGAGAGGAAATTCGGTGCTTGGGACCTGCTGTAGGCTCTTAACCTTCGCAGCACGTACCATTATTAGAAAGTGATGAGAGAATGCAGAAGAGGAAGTGTCAACAGCTTGACACAGGGTCTCTCCTATGAGGAGTGTCTAAAATGTTTCAGGCTGAAACCCAGAGTTTTTCCTTCCTTATAAACTTGGAAATCTTTATTAATATACACGATGAGATTCCTACTCACTGTATGCTCTACTATACACTAATGCACAGCTATTTCAGAATTAAATGAGTCTCTTATAAAAGGTTTCACTATTGTAATCTTTTCTTTAGCTGAAGAGCTATGCAGGTAAGAAATTAAGCATAGGGACAGGTAGAGACAAGTTGTACCACAGATCCAGACTCTGCAAAGTGAAGGGGAGTTGCTCCTTTGTCCTCTGTTCCCTCTTCACTGCTCATCATTACATTCAGGCGACAGCAGCACACATTGTCTGTGATGCCAGTGAGTTCTCTTTACCTAACCATGTCTCCTACTGCTCTAAAGCACTGATTAAATAACTGTGCTCCAATTTTGTTTTTCTAAGACTTGCTAATTAGTTTCTTCTCATTTCCATTCCACAGAAGTCCTTTTCGTTGTCTCTACTCTGTGATATCGCAACTTTGCTTGCACAGGTAAAGATTTTTATACACTCTAATCAAGACCTTGCAATCAAAAATAGAGTAACATTCTGGAAGACATCGAAAACATTAAGAACACTTTTTAAAGATCTATATCTTCAGATATTTTTAGAATGTGCAGAGAAAAATACTATGCACGAAAGAAAAAGTTATTAGCTATCATAAGATCAAGTCTTTGACTGTTTTGAAGAATTTGGATGCAAGTATGCTGGAACTATTTTGCAGATTTTCAAAGCTCAAGCTCCTTTCTCTAAAATCTTCTTCTAATTATCTTGCATTAGGTAATGCTCTGGTGCATGTAATTCATACATTAAGAAAAGAGTGTGTGCTGCAGAGAAGCAAAGGTAACATCCTAAGTAAAAATACCGCATACTGCACTTGCAGATGCTGCTGAAGATCAGCAGGCATAAATTAGGGTTGTTTAAATCAGAGCTCACATCTGTTGATATCAGTGCTTCTGTGCTTTCTTCCTTTCCTGCTACGATCAGACGTCTGCAGATGGGAGGTTTGTTAGCATCAGCTATGGCAATGTGAAGGCTTCTTCATATAAAGCAAACCAGTGAGGAAAAAAAATATCAAAAAGTTTCCAAGCACCAGGGAACAAAATTTTGAGACACTGTGACTTAGTTTTTAAAGACAGAGGTTGCAAGGTGTTCTGTGATGAAGCTATTTGCTCTAAACCTTTTCCTGCTCTTTCACTCTTTAACTTTGTCTCACTTGCTGGTAAGAACAATTCACGGTTGCCCAGCTTCCCGACTTCATCCTTCTTGGCATTTAACAGCTCTTCATGGACCTCTCCCTCATAAATTGCTCTATATTGCCTCTTAGACCCATCTATTTTTTTAATCAACATAACATCCCCTATAGAAGAGAACTGCCTTGTTTAATTGTTTGTAGAAAAAGAACTTGGTTTCAAGCTTTCCAGCCATAATTTTATCTGACACCATCAGCTCCTGAATTACAAGGAACAGCAATCATTCACCTTTCACCTGCTCCAGGCCAGTCCCCCCTCCTGCCCACAGGCATTGTTTTGCACAATTGAATTATCCAACACTGAATTTCACGTGCTATATTACTATTATATTACTATTTAGTTTCTGGTTATCATGTCACTATTCATATTTCTTTGCAAGTAGCTTTTGCTTTGATGACCCCAAATATATTTAATACCATCAGCAAAGGACACTTGATTATGACCCATCTCCTGCACTGAAACTTTTCAGTGAATACATAGATTTCTGGGGGATTTTAATTCTGACCACTATTTCCTATCTTCTAACTAGTACTAAACCCAAAAGAGGACTGGTCCCACCTTATTCTGTTTTTGAAAACTTTTTTCTTTATGACATTAGGTTTGCCCCGTGGAAAGCATTTGGCAGACCACTATGAAGCTCTCCAGGGAAAATGCTCCTTACGAATCAGTCAGCCAGCTGAAAAGCTGTCTAGCATAGTGAATGCAAAGACCCATGAAGCATGCCCTAGACTGCGCTTATCATTAAATGACAAAGTCGGAGAAAACAAAATCTCTGCTAAAATAAATCCCCTCTCCTTCAAACCTGGGCTACAAACCACTGGCAGTCAAGGTGATGTTCTACAGGTGCTCTGATCACCACATGCACCTGATGTTTCCTTCACCGTCAGAAAAATATTCACCAGTACGAAGTGACTAGAGCCCACACAAACTGCTTAGAGCACCAGGCTTGCCTCTGTACAACCTTCTCAACTTGTAAGAAAAAGATAAAACAAAGACTGATTACTGCTCAGTGATGAGTAATGTTCTACCAACCTGGCAATCTTGAATAAGGGAGAGTCTAAATAAAACACTATCACTCAAAAAAGCTATATAGCCACCTTGCAGCCTGAAAATGGCCTGACAAGCAACAGCAGAAAAACACCCCTTAAGCTCTCTTGCTAGAACAATTTGAAATAGTTTCATTATACCATAACAAGCACTCAATCTCTCAGCAGTATTCACATGCCGAAACTTCTCAGATTTACACTACACCTCCTCGTGCACGAAAATTCTTCATAACTGATGATTTATCAGTATTTCTTTGTCAGTACCAGTATCCTGGGCTGCATCAAAAGAAGTGTGGCCAGCAGGTGAAAGGAGGTGATTCTGCCCCTCTACTCCACTCTTGTGAGACCCCACCTGGACTACTGCGTCCAGCTCTGGAGCCCCCAGCATAAGAAGGACATGGACCTGCTGGAGTGCGTCCAGAGGAGGGCCACGAGGATGATCCGAGGGCTGGAGCACCTCTCCTACGAGGAGAGGCTGAAAGAGTTGGGGCTGTTCAGCCTGGAGAAGAGAAGGCTCTGGGGAGATCTTGTTGCATGCTAACAATGACTACAGTTTTCCCCTCTATTCCTTCAATAAACATACCATGCTGCTAAGCCAGCTTTCTTGACAAATCTCACACTTTGAAAGACAGTAGAAAACAGGGTTGAAAGGACCTCTTGAGATCACCATATGTGTCTCCTCCCCAAAAGGAGATCGCCTAGGCTTAAGCCCATCCAGAGCACATACACGTGCAAAGCACTTAATATGCTATCATAGAATCACTATAGCAAATCACTCTGTACTGTGGCCTCATTTTGCCTACAAATATATGGCTGGGGTGTAAATACCAATTAGAAATGCATCCCAAAAGCAGTGAAGACTGTTTTCCTGCATCAGCCATGAAAGCAGAAGTACACAAATAACCAGTGCTGTATCCCAAGGTAACTGGGGAAGGAAAACCCAGCAAAATAACAGGAATTAATTTTTTATGAAAAATCCGACTCTCTCGTAGTTGCTTACTAGTAAATTACTGGTTTCAAAAAGCTTTACCTAGAATACATGAAAATATCTGTTGGGATTGCTAAAACACTGTACAAAAGTCAGCAAATGTTTTATTTAATATTTAAGCATCTGTGGAGACAAACAGACCAGCAAGTTAACTGCAAATGCTATCTTTATTATGAGCGTATCGATAATACCAGCACTGCGGCATTTCCTGCCTTGATTTAGGATTTAATGCAAGACTTCTGGGACCACGCTAGGCTCAGACACTGTCTCTACTTGTTACCATTCAGTCTTCATTTGCGAATGATAATTTTTGCTTTGAATGGCATGCCTGACTGCAGGGCAGAGTAAATCCAAACCTTTTAAACTCTAGCCAAAAATTTGCCATGAATTAGGAGACTGCAGCATATTTACAATACAAAATAAAATATCTCTACGAGTGCTCAGTGGTGGTGGTATGAATAAACGCCGATTATTCTTTTTTTTTTTTGACGGATAATTTTCAAAGCAGCGATTTTGCAAAGACTCAGGAAGAAAACAATTTTGTTTCATTTCCATAACAGAATCCAGACCTCTAAATTCAACCTCACGAGCTACAATTATGCATAAGAACTACCACTGTGAATTTTCAAACACAATGCCTTTTATTGTCTCTTCTCATTCTTTTCCCTTCCTGTTCTCCAAGATTTTCTGTACTGTCATCCTCCACAGAAACTTTCGAGCAGAAAGTCCGACTTGAAAGGAAAACTTTGAAGTTTTCAGGCTTCAAGGGAAAACAACAATGCAAACCTTCAACACAAGGTATTTGAATTGTATTTGGTGTTTTTTTTCATCCTTATGGCAACAAACAACAACAACAAAAGTCTTTTTATTATATGGAATCTTTACAGATGAAAACTAATGTTCAGCTTTTCCATGATGGATGGAGAGTATTTTAGGCACCTTCAGAATTCACGTGTGATCGTCCCGGAGCTCAAGAAATGAAAGATGCCAAATAATGAAGACTGCAATTCTCTTGTGCTGCATAACCTGTGAGACATTTCATGAGGACAGTAATGTAGCCCAGACACAAACACAGCAACTTACTATTTACAGGAACTTCCCAAATATTGTCCTTCAATATCACTATTTTATTAATATGTTTTCCACCTGCACTAGGAGACAGGCAGCTCTGAAGTATAAATACTGAAGATGAAACACCTACGCAGCACAAGCAGCATGAAAAGCACATCTTGCTTTCTATGTATAAAGCACTTTTGGATTCAAGGGCTGCTTTCAAATGTAGTAACCTCTAAGACATTAAACATTTCCCTGGGAAATGAAGTTTCTCCTCCTAAAAGCCAGAGAAGAAACATGCCTATGAATGTCACACACACTTTGGCTCTCCAAAATAGTTTAAAAATCTTCACGCTGCTTTTGAAGAAAGGCACGTGAGGCTGTCGCTGCAACCCCACACCCCAGGCAGACCCTGTTTATGGGTAACATCTGGTTGCAATTACCCACTTGATGGAATGCAAAGCAAGAATTTTTGTTACCAATGGGACTGGGAGAACAAACAGGACATTATTTACACATTAAAGAGAGTACTCACCCCAACACCACCGCAAGGAAGCCTGACAAACATCGATGTTAAAGAACCTGTAGGAAAAAAAACGTACCCTGTAAGTCAAAAAGTCAAAGTTCACCAGATTTTGGTCCAATTTTACGGCAACGCTGTAATCTTTCTGAACACAGTAACAGACTAGGGTTTTCTTGCAATTTTCAGAGAACACACAGCCAACCCTGTCACGTTACAATGCATATATACACAATATACACATTTGGGCTTGTTCAAAAGCCTTTTCAATATAAAAGCCTTTTATAAATCACTTATTTTTATGCAAGGTTTGTGTGCTGAGATTAGGTAGGGTCTCCTAAGGCAATAGGAGCCAAGAGGGATACACCAGTGAAATACCCCAAAGGAATTAAGGGATGTTCTTCTAAGATGACACAGCCGACAGCCCAGCTGAAGTGGCTCTACACCAATGCACGCAGCATGGGCAAGAAACAGGAGGAGCTGGAAGCCACCATGCTGCTAGAAAGCTACAACCTGGTTGCCGTTACTGAAACATTGTGGGATGAATCCCATGACTGGAGTGTGGCTATCAATGGCTACAGGCTGTTCAGAAGGGACAGGCAAGGAAGGCGAGGCAGAGGCATTGCCCTCTACATCAAAAAATGGATAGAGTGCAAAGAGCTGTCTCTGAAGAACAGCCGTAAGCAGATTGAAAGCCGACGGGTAAGAATTAAGAGACTGAGGCAACAAAGGAGCCTTGTGGTTTGTGTCTACTACAGGCCACCCGATCAAGGGGAGCCTATTGACAAAGTCTTCTTAATCCAGCTACAGGAGGCATCGCACTCGCAGGCTCTTGTCCTGCTGGAGGACTTCAACCACTCCACCATCTGCTGGAAAAGTAGCACGGCAAGCTGTAGGCAATCCAGGAGACTCCTGGAGTACATCAAAGATAACTTCTTAAGCCAAGCAATAGATAGCCCTCCCACAGGGGATGTGATACTGGACATGATGGTCATCAGCGCAAGTGAGCTAATTGGTAACGTCAAGATTGGAGGCAGCCTTGGCTGCAGCGACCATGCACTGGTGGAGTTCGCAGTCCTGAGGGGTATGGGTCAGGGGAAAAGTAAAGTCAGGACCCTGAACTTTAGGAAAGCAAAATTCCAGCTCTTGAACGAGTTAGTCAATAGGGCTTCCTGGGAAACTGCCACCAGGGACGAGGGAGCAGAACAGAGGTGGCAGATCTTTTAGGATGGTTTCCATAGAGTGCAAGAGCTCTTGATCCCCAGGTGTAAGAAATTAGGAAAGGCAGGCAAGAGACCAGCATGGCTGAATCAAGACCTGCTGGTCAAACCAAAGGGCAAGAAAGAGATGCACAGGCAGTGGAGGCGAGGACATGCATCCTGAGAAGAGTATAGGGATGCTGCCTAGTTGGAAATGAAGTTTCTCCTCCTAAAAGCCAGAGAAGAAACATGCCTATGAATGTCACACACACTTTGGCTCTCCAAAATAGTTTAAAAATCTTCACGCTGCTTTTGAAGAAAGGCACGTGAGGCTGTCGCTGCAACCCCACACCCCAGGCAGACCCTGTTTATGGGTAACATCTGGTTGCAATTACCCACTTGATGGAATGCAAAGCAAGAATTTTTGTTACCAATGGGACTGGGAGAACAAACAGGACATTATTTACACATTAAAGAGAGTACTCACCCCAACACCACCGCAAGGAAGCCTGACAAACATCGATGTTAAAGAACCTGTAGGAAAAAAAACGTACCCTGTAAGTCAAAAAGTCAAAGTTCACCAGATTTTGGTCCAATTTTACGGCAACGCTGTAATCTTTCTGAACACAGTAACAGACTAGGGTTTTCTTGCAATTTTCAGAGAACACACAGCCAACCCTGTCACGTTACAATGCATATATACACAATATACACATTTGGGCTTGTTCAAAAGCCTTTTCAATATAAAAGCCTTTTATAAATCACTTATTTTTATGCAAGGTTTGTGTGCTGAGATTAGGTAGGGTCTCCTAAGGCAATAGGAGCCAAGAGGGATACACCAGTGAAATACCCCAAAGGAATTAAGGGATGTTCTTCTAAGATGACACAGCCGACAGCCCAGCTGAAGTGGCTCTACACCAATGCACGCAGCATGGGCAAGAAACAGGAGGAGCTGGAAGCCACCATGCTGCTAGAAAGCTACAACCTGGTTGCCGTTACTGAAACATTGTGGGATGAATCCCATGACTGGAGTGTGGCTATCAATGGCTACAGGCTGTTCAGAAGGGACAGGCAAGGAAGGCGAGGCAGAGGCATTGCCCTCTACATCAAAAAATGGATAGAGTGCAAAGAGCTGTCTCTGAAGAACAGCCGTAAGCAGATTGAAAGCCGACGGGTAAGAATTAAGAGACTGAGGCAACAAAGGAGCCTTGTGGTTTGTGTCTACTACAGGCCACCCGATCAAGGGGAGCCTATTGACAAAGTCTTCTTAATCCAGCTACAGGAGGCATCGCACTCGCAGGCTCTTGTCCTGCTGGAGGACTTCAACCACTCCACCATCTGCTGGAAAAGTAGCACGGCAAGCTGTAGGCAATCCAGGAGACTCCTGGAGTACATCAAAGATAACTTCTTAAGCCAAGCAATAGATAGCCCTCCCACAGGGGATGTGATACTGGACATGATGGTCATCAGCGCAAGTGAGCTAATTGGTAACGTCAAGATTGGAGGCAGCCTTGGCTGCAGCGACCATGCACTGGTGGAGTTCGCAGTCCTGAGGGGTATGGGTCAGGGGAAAAGTAAAGTCAGGACCCTGAACTTTAGGAAAGCAAAATTCCAGCTCTTGAACGAGTTAGTCAATAGGGCTTCCTGGGAAACTGCCACCAGGGACGAGGGAGCAGAACAGAGGTGGCAGATCTTTTAGGATGGTTTCCATAGAGTGCAAGAGCTCTTGATCCCCAGGTGTAAGAAATTAGGAAAGGCAGGCAAGAGACCAGCATGGCTGAATCAAGACCTGCTGGTCAAACCAAAGGGCAAGAAAGAGATGCACAGGCAGTGGAGGCGAGGACATGCATCCTGAGAAGAGTATAGGGATGCTGCCTAGTTGTGCAGGGATGGGGTCAGGAAGGCCAAGGCATGGCTGGAGCTGAACTTGGCAAGGTACGCAAAGAATAATAAGGACTTCTATAGGTACGTCAGCCAGAAAAGGAAGGTCAAAGGAGGCATGCCCCCCTAATGAGCAAGACTGACAAACTGGTAACAACAGATGAGGAGAAGGCTGAGGTACTCAACAACTTTTTTGTCTCAGTCTTCATTGGCAACCTCTGTCCCCACACCTCTCAAGTGGATGGACCGCAAGACAGGGACCAGGGGAGAAAATTCCCTCCCACTGTAAGAGAAGATCAGGTTCGTGACCACCTGAGGAACCTGAACATACCTACATAAGTCTATGGGACCTGATGAGATGCATCCCAGAGTCTTGAAGGAATTGGCTGATGTAGTTGCCAAGCCCCTCTCCGTGGTATTTGAAAAGTCTTGGCAGTCAGGTGAAGACCCTAGTGACTGGAAAAAAGAAACATTGCACCCATTTTTACAAAGGGTAGAAAGGAGCTCCCTGGGAACTATTGGCCTGTAAGCCTTACCTCTGTGCCTGGGAAGATCATGGCACAGATCCTCCTAGAAACTATGCTAAAACGCATGGAAGACAGGTGATTCAAGACAGCCAGCATAGCTTCACCAAGGCCAAGTTCTACCTGACCAACCTAGTGGCCTTCTATGATGGAATAACTAGATCAGCGGACAGGAGAAGCCTACGGATGTTGTCTATCTGGACTTCTGTAAGACCTTTGACACGGTCCCCCACAACATCCTTCTCTCTGAATTGGATGGAGAGATATGGATTTGATGGCTGGACTGTCTGGTGGATGAGGAATTGGTTGGATAGTCGCATCCAGAGGGTAGCGGTCAAGGGCTCAATGTCAAGATGGAGACTGGTGACAACTAGTGTCCCTCACGGTATCAGAATTGGGACTAGTACTGTTCAATATCTTTATCAGTGACACAGAAGGATCAAGTGCACCCTCAGCAAATTTGTGGATGACACCAAGCTGAGTTGACATGCCTGAGGGATAGGATACCATCCAGAGGAACCTGGACAGGCTTGAGAGGTCGGCCTGTGTGAATCTCATGAAGTTCAACAAGGCCAAGTGCCAAGGTCTGCACCTGAGTTGGTGCAACCCCTGATATGAATACAGGCTGGGGGATGAAGGGATTGAGAGCAGCCCTAAGGAGAAGAACTTGGGGGTATTGGTGGATGAAAAGCTCAACATGAGACAACAATGTGCGCTCGCAGCCCAGAAAAGCAACCGTATCGTGGGCTGCCTCAAAAGAAGAGTGGCCAGCAGATCAAGGGAGGCGATTCTGCCCCTCTACTCCACTCTGGTGAGACTCCACCTGGAGTACTGTGTCCAGCTCTGGAGCCCCCAACATAAGAAGGACATGGACCAGTTGGAGCGGGTCCAGAGGAGGGCCACAAAGATGATCAGAGAGCTGGAACACCCCGCCTATGAGGACACGCTGAGAGAGCTGGGGTTGTTCAGCCTGGAGAAGAGAATGCTCTGGGGAGACCTTATTATGGCCTTTCAGTACTTTAAGGGGGCATACAGGAGAGATGGGGACAAACTTTTTAGCAGGGCCTGTTGTGATAGGACAAAGGGTAGTGGCTTTAAACTAAAAGAGGGTAGATTTAGACTAGCTATAAGAAAGATTTTTTTTTACAATAAGGGTGGTGAAACACTGGAACAGGTTGCCCAAAGAGGTGATGGATGCACCATCCCTGGAAACATTCAAGGTCAGGTTGGATGGCACTCTGAGCAACCTGACCTAGCCGAAGATGTTCCTGCTCATTGCAGGGGTGGTTGGACTAGATGAACTTTAAAGGTCCCTTACAACCCAAACTATTATATGATTCTACGTCTTCTCAAATGAACATTTTAATCCCTTTCAACTGAAGGATAGGAAATCATAAAAACAGCCTAATTATCAGTCATATGCACAGTTACTAGAAGAGTTTGGAGTGCCTGAGCTTCATAAAAGAGGAAGACAAAAAATAAACCAGAATAAAAGGTAACATGTTTTGACTGGAAGAGCAAACCCAACATTAAGAACTTGAGAAAAATTGAGAAAACCATCTGTAGGGATAATTTTGCATCTGTAGGAATTGTAACATCACTTTCTGGGCTTGCATGTGAGCAAATTATCCTCCATTCAAAATTCTGTAGGTTTATAGACCATATACTGAAACAAGAACACGCTGTCTTATATCCATCACCACCCTACCTGCATGATTGTACATTCGCCTGTGCACCACAGGTAAATAGAAGGAAATATGTGCATGCAGACACTGTAAAAAACCTGGAGTACGCTGCCCGAGATTCATTTGCGTGAGACTTATTTAAAGTTAATGAAAGCTAATGGTGAAATAAACTGGGTTGAGGGAGTTTTTTATCCATCAAATCAGGTTCTTGTTCTGGTCATGTCTATACTATAAGAATAAATTCCCTTAATTGCTAACTACCAGCTTTGCAGAGTGTGAATTAGCCGTGACAGCAGACAGACATTACTGAGGGCCACGCTGGTGTCAAAAGCATTGCAGACACATACGTTACCCCTATGACTGAAAGTGCAGTTAATGCATCTGTATTATTAATCTGAGTGCACAGTGAGATTCACTGTTTGATTAGATCCGCATGAAAGTTCTTAGATTGTCCTGCCTCAGACCTCCTGTCACATCTTTCACTGCTAAACCACCCATTATTTCCATATTTATCTTCTTGACAACAATTTATGATTGCTCTCCACAAATTAAAAGCAGTCTTATTTGCCTCAGTTTTAACTTGTTCAACAGGTTCAAAAACTTTACCCTATCAAACAATAGATGGATTCGTATTTTTCATCCTCAGACTTTCAAGGGCTTTAGCAACGCTTCCAGTGGTAGAGTTGTGCAACCTGCCTTAAAGGCCACCACCTTCAAACTCTCCTAATAAAACACCACAAAGCAGATCTTTGCGATGCTCAGGCTCCTCTGGGGAAAAGTAACTTAAAGATCAGTGGTGGGCTTCTGTTGCAAGTCTCTTCTCCTACATGTGTAAAGAAGGGCACTCTTTGAGGAAGGAGTAAGACTCAGTAGTAACAAGCTATATGACATTGCAGAAGTATAAGTAATCCGCAGACCCACATTGATGCCTGCTTAGAATTCTGAAAAACCTGAACTATTTACCCTCTTCCCGCTTTCTCCTAAAGAACTGCCAGATTAAGGGACATCCCCCCTTATCATATCCAGAAGCTTAAAAAGAAACATCTTGTGTTTTCATCCCCCAGCTTTACGAGCTCTTCCTTTTAGGCTGAGGTTTCTCATGCTTTTTCTTCCTCACAGACATATCAAAGGCAACGAGTTTACATGGAGTCAGCCACCCCATTGCAGTTGTACACATCAAGACACTCAGGTCTAACAAACTCACATTTGCATAGGTGAGCCTCACGAAGCTTTGGTCTCAGACTTCAAACCTGCCATACATCTACCCTCTGACATATTTAAAAGAACCCATAAAGCTGTTTTGTAAATTTAAAAGCCCTTTAAACTCTCATCTGAAGAGGATGGGTAAAGAAGGGGCTGCTTACAGGCTTGTTCATCTCTACCCACAAATGCACATTTTGAGGTTTTTCAGGGAGCTTTTCCCAACACATCAGTGGCTGTTATCCTTGCTCAGGTCCAGCACTGTGGAAGCCATCAAATTAAGAAACTGGGTTTAGGGCCAGCATCGCTCTTCCTGCCCTGCTCCTGAAGGAGAACTTCTCCCTGGGTGCTACGCAGACATCCCAGACAGGCTCACTCCTCTGGTCATGTTGGCTAGCCGCGCTGTCCCTCCGGACCCTTGGCTGTCAAGCTGTCAACCTATTTTCTCCTGCCTAGTGGGATGACTGGCAGACATGCTGAATGGTGACGCTGTTTGCTCTTCCTCCGTGCTTCGTGCTCGGCATGAGTGTCAGTGCCAGCTGTAGCACATGCACAGCTCCCCATCCAATGAGAGTACAACTGGGCAGCGGAAACAGGCAGTTCACTGCTGTCTGGGCAAAGATGGTCATGTGAGCTGACAGCAAGTCCCACTGCTAGCAGCTCAAGGCGAAAATTATGCCAATTGGGTTTAGGAAACAAGGTCTAAGCTCAGCTAACAGCTACTGGAACATCCTTCCTACTGGAGATCCTGGGGACCTGACCTTCTGCCTATGGCTGCAGCTCTCTGACAACCTCGTGTTCTTTGCAAATTACACCCAAACAGGCAACATTTTGTACTGGAATACCCTCAGATATTAGAATTATTTCTCTTCACTATAGGAATAAACTTGATCTCTACAGACATTTTAAAATGAGTGATTAAAGACATGGGGGACACACAGCAAAACTACAGAAGTACTCACTGGCAGAGCTAGAGTGTCTCCCCTCCTTCCCTAAACAAGCCATCAGGAATGGTTCAGCAAAACCTGGGAATCCCCAAATCCAGTGCTAACCAAATAAACTGTTTGTATCTCCAAATGTTTCTATGGAACTATTGATATAGATTGTGCCAAGAGTCAAAACAGGAGTGGGAAAATATTTCAAGAGCATCTGACATCTGAATGAGCAGGAAACACTCGGTGTTATCACAGGCCACCTTTGCCACATATCTTGCACAGGGTATCGGGTGACCCACTGTCAGCTCAGCTCCCTACACAGATGATGATGACCGCTGCCAGAGGCAGCGTGCCAACCCTGCCTGCTACAGGCTGGTAAAGCCAACAGGTCAGATGCTGGAGGGCTGCCCAGATCCTACTGCAGCAGACAATCAGGACACAAGTCCTCCCACACCTTCACTGCTATAGTTCAAGAATTCGCAGAGAAATCAGTCAGCATGAAGTTGGTGCAACTGCAAATGAGAAGCCTTCTCAGATCTACTGGGGAAGATTTACATGCTGTTTCTTTGGACTGGTGGATACGCCTTATGCAAGGCCAGAGTTTTACACTACCAAGGATATGACATCACAAATTCTTTAAACTTTACATACTAATTGTGCTATCATTCAGCCAGGGGTGTCTACTTTCCGTTCGCTCTGGGTTTTAAAGAGGTGGTAAGTTAGCTATAAATACAGTGCTAATTGCATGTTTAAACAACTGGCTAAAAGCTTTCCTCTTTGGGGATCTAATGTACATACTGAATATGTTGCAAAATCTTTCCAGCTCTTTTGCTGCGACTACTACATCATGCAGGCCATCAAATTAATCCTCTTTTTGTATCATCCAAAGTCAAGCTAAACCCAAAATAAACTTTCTCAACTTCAATGTTCCAGAACTGTCTTTTTGTTGATCCACATTTGAGAACTTCCCAAACTGTCCCTCCACCCTATCACCTACTGCTCGAAAAAGTTACAAAGTAAAGGTAAGGTGCTAAAATCAATGTGGTTTGGTCACCATGGCGGGGTACTGGTTATCTAAACAACCACCTCCTAGATTTTTTGCAGGGAAAATGTCTATATTTTATGGCAGATGCAGCCCTGTTTCAGGAAGATCCAGTCTCCAGTGAAAGGGATAAACAATCTTACTCCAAATTAAAGAATTGTAAGCCTATCTAAGAGGCCCCTGCATCTTTCTTGCAGATTATCCATACAAAACTGACAGCTATTGGTTGATGTCTATGCAGCTGGTCAGTGCTGCAGATCCAGGTCCTTAGCAGGGTGCTCCAGTTCCTACTTAGAAACAGATAACTTTCTAATACACAGAGCAGTGTCCAAGGATAAAATAAAACATCTGAATTGCCTTTCCTCCTCAGGAAAACCTCCTTTTAGGTTTTGAAGACATCAAAGAAAGGAAGTTTTAGCTATCTAGGGTTTAGGGATCTACCTGAAGAAAGGGAGATGTATCTTGTACTGCTCTCAAGCAGACATTGAACAGAGGTGGGAAGAATCCTCTTGGGAACTGCCAAGAGCTGAGGATGGAGGGAACTCCATGTCCCACATTTCGTACTGGTACCACTAAGTGACTGCCAGAGCCAGGGCTGAGGACAGTAGTGGGAGTGCTGGAGGTCAGGAAGGGGACCGCCCCCAAAGGGAGTGATACCTAGAAGTTTCTTGCTGTCCAGTTTCTGTCTGTTCAGAGGGTTTGTGCCGTACAGCAGCGTATGAGCTTCCGAGTGAACTGTCTGCAGCTCTTCTAGAGTTGCTTTTCTTCCACGAATACACTGAAAGAGGAAAGAAAAGGGGTGATGAAATCACTGATTAACTGCTTAGCTCTCATTAAAGAACTTCTCTTTTTCCTTAGCAAATCATAAGACAGTGAGCAAAAAACTAAAATGGGTTCTTCTGTGGAAAAATTCATTGTAAGACAGATTTTGGTTTAATCCCTTATTCAAAATACTAGCTTGACATATAAAGCCATCTTTAGATTTATTTACATTTGTTTTAAAAATACTTACCACAGAGCATTTGCTAAATTACACAGATATTGCTTGACTACTGAATACTCAGGATTTCAGTTATAAGCCATCTTAAAGTGATTCTTTGGTGCAAATGTGTCCCTCCAAGCCACGCCCCGACTTCCCCACCGTTATTATTAAGCTAACCTAAAAATTTCCTCCAAACACATTGCTTTCCAAACTGAACCTTTGACCAATTAAGGGTCAGTTACAAACTTTCTGCCCTAAAACTCATCTTGGGAATCCCACAAGATTCAATCTGTTGCAAAATGTTTTCTTATACAATGATGCCGGTTCGGCTGGAAGTACTGTAGCAAATACGCTCATGCCTGCTTTTGTTGCCAGCTGAAACCCAGAAGGGCAGACGCACACCAAATTCAAAACCCCGGCTTCACTGAAGATCATGGCAAAGCTTTTACTGATGTCAGCAGGACCCGACTTCACATTTTACAAATTGGTGATCTTTTCCCATTTTTTGTCATAGGGATCTAGCATACCTTTGGGGCTTATCTTTTGTTGCCATCACCCATTGTATGGGAAAGTATGTCTGTAAGAACAAAGTGCTACTTGGAGATACTAAATCTTGGGCATATAAGGACCATGCCATTGCCTCTTGCACAGGAGCAAGCACTCCCCAGCAGGCAGATGGCACTGGGAGGGTATCAGGTATACCAGAGAAGGCAACCAACTCCCAGCAGTGGAAAAAACATCTGACCTTTTCAACTGGGAGCTTGTGACTGCCTATGAAACGTTGGCAGGGGAAATATGCAGAGAGTCGAGAAAGTGCTGAGGTTGGGGTAAGTCAAGAGGTGGTCATGAGAGAGGAGAGGGAGTTATTTAGAAATAAGGATTGCTTTGCTTCAGAAACATGCATGCACTTCCCTCCCTTCCAAAACAAACAAACGGAAAAAAAAAACCAAACCAAAGAACAAAAAAGAAGTCTATCATATGGCTTAGAATTACTTCACGATTTTTTGTCATGATTTGGACTAAAACACTTTAAAAGGAGCTGTCATTTTGGGGGGTTGTTTCTACAGAAGGAATGACAAGATTATTCCTCTTTGCAATAGTAATACTAAAATATAAATAGTTAACAGCATGATATTGGAAACTTCTGAAAATCTCTTGTAGAGGTCTCAGGGTCACCCAAGATGCCAGCCTCAGCAACGAGCATCCTGCTGCACAGTCCACGCAGGATCACATGCGCCTCCTGCACAGCCTTCACCCTGACTTTGTCAAAGCCAGTTGCTTTTTTAAGATTCCCATGTTCCTGAAGAAGCAGAGTTTCTAATGAGAACAACAACAACAAAAAAAAGGATAACTTTAAAAAAAAGGGGAAAAAAGAAAGCACATTCCTAAAAACAATAGACTTTAAATCGAAAGCTTGTTTTGAAGAGAAGGTCAAACTGTGACACTCACTCCTGAGAACTGCTGCTGCTCAGAAAGCACTGTTGTGTGCCGTTTACTTTGCAAGAGAGTGCTAGGGACAAGATGCTTCAAAGGCATCGGCACTTCCAGCCAAGCAGTGCCTGCTTTTGCACCATGTTGCCATCTCTGGCTGCTGCCTGACCCAGCCAGAGCATCCTGGGGTGCAGCACACCAGGGGCACGGGGACTCCAGGACCTCCACCTCTGAAGCACAGTCCGCAGAACAAACTTGAGGGATTCTTTTGTCTCAAACCTTCAGCATAAGGCTCCATCACGTGTTGCAAAGGGCACAGGAAATCACTTTGTAAAACCATTTGAGGCATAAGGCAGGAGAAATCAAAGCACGGCAGGAGTGCTCATGCACTCTGCCTCTCCTAATTTTGGCATTTCTGCTCTCCAGTTCCTCTTTCATTTTCTCTGTGCTCCGCTCCACCACCTAGCGTATTTCCTGAGGTTAATGATAAGGCAAAAATACATCATCCCATTAAAGAGGCAATAATCACAAAAATGCTAGACCCAGAAGGGATGGAAATATCTGGCAAATCCCCCTTGAACTTTTATCCTGTCTTTCCTTTTTTTTCACAGTAAGTCTGCCTCAGTCCCCCCTTATAGGCTTTTACAGCTTCCCTCTAACCCATATGCCAACTCTTTTCCCTTGAACAAAACGTACTGACCCATTTTCAGCCGCTACATTTAGGTGACATACAGAAACAGCATGTTGTATTTCTTGGCTTTATGTGAAGGCACCAGGAGAACGGCAGCCAGTCACAATAACACACCAACTCCTCCGTGGATGCAAACAGCTTCAGCTCCCCGGGATGGGAAAGGCTGCTCCCCTTTAAAGTACGTGGCCTTACCAAGACATCCAAGCTCCATGCTTTTTAGGAGTGTATCAGTGCCACCCTCCCCTCCATCTGACATCCATCACTGAATGGAAACTACAAGTGGATGGAGAAGTTCTTTCTATGCTGCAAGTACAACCCATTCAAGGAAAAAGCTACTACTTACTGAAACAAATACATATCACAAACATCATAGCAAACATTGCCTGGTTAAAAAGGATTATGCTTGAGACACTTTTGCACCTTTCTCACCTCCCAGCTCACGTGCCACAAGATTTGTCCTTGGCTCTAACACAAAAACACCAAGAAAATTAATTAAATCCCCCCAAAATAGAGTTGGAGAACACAGTACATCCCTCGCTCCTGCTTCCAGACCCATCGTAACTTGCATCTCAGTCTACAGCTCAGCCTGCCATCCATGCTCCTAATTTGAGCAGTTCTTCACTTTCTAAGAGCTCTTAAGTCATGACACTCTTATCTTCGAGGCTTCCAATTGCCTATTGAGCTTGCTCGCTCCGTATTACCCCCTGCCCGTGTCTAACCTCCTTCCCAGATGCTAAACTCCAGATTTTCAGTTCAGGAGATAGCTTCTTAACCCCTATGAACTAGTTGTCTCTTTAGCCTGTTTCCTTTGTTCCTCTCTCTGCACAAAACGTGCCCTTTGTAACACCACACCATCTCTCCTCTCCCACTGCTTTATACACATCCTTCTGCATTCTTCATCCGTGTCCTTGGAGCTAGCTTTGAGCAAGAAAAAAACCCTGCTAGTCTCTTAGTTTGCCTTTTATTCACCCTTTCACCTCATGATGTTTCAAAAGGATGGAGTATGAATCCTGAAAGACTGCGAGCCAGACCTTGTACCACCTGTGGCCCCATAAACACCACAAAAAGCCATGAAAACAGCTATAAAGCTCCCTTCCAGAGACCCACTTCCCAGGCATAACCACCATCACCTCCTGCATGCCCTCAGTGTTTTGTGATGGGAAACCTTGGGCACAGAGAGGCTCTCTGGAGGCTTCATTCCCCAGACCCATCCTGTGCTTCAACCAGACACCCACCCAATACTGTGCCAGGAACACTGGGGTCACAGCTCTGCTCTTACATATCGCCCAGCCCAGGGTCTGTTTTTTCATGTCAGTCCTCCACCGCTGCAATTAACCTTCAGCTAACAGTCCTCATGCTTTAAACAACGCAGGGATTCCTGCCAAAATGTGCTTGGAGATGGAGGATCTCATTCTCCTCCTACCTAGCTGAGCAGCCTGGGGATTTGATTACCTCTGAAACACACAGCAAAACCTATCGATTTCCTCACATTTTTGATGAAGGCTAGGAGGATTACTCTATACCATGATTGCTGCTTTTTGTTTCGGGGGGCAGAATCTTTTATTGAGATTGCCCCAATTAGTATAATTGTTGCTTTTAAATTCTGAATGTACACCAGAGTAATTGCCATATTTTATAAAGCTAACTTAATTAAACAAGCAATACTCTAAACTGCAGCTGTCGTTAAGTTTGGACAAATGCTTTCACTCCAAAGGGTCATCTTTAAACTTATGTGACTCTGCCAGACTCTTACCTATCACACTGCAAATCTGACGCGCATTTCCCCCTCAGCTGGATGTAAAACGTTTTTTGGACAACTTTAGCATACACATATCTGTTTCACTGCTGAAAAATGAGAGGCTGGGGGGAAGCGATGTGGTTTTTTCTGTTCTAAAAATATTCGTGCCCCTTCTGGATCACTTCTATTGCCTTCGAGAGAAATGGTAGGAACTCAGCACTTGGCAGGTTGTCCGAGAGAAATGGTAGGAACTCAGCACTTGGCAGGTTGTCTAGGAGCCTTTCGGCTGCCTGATGAAAACAGGTTTTCACTTAGTTAATTTCTGAAATTTCAAAGCAAGTATTTGTTTGCATGCATGATAAAAATATTTATCTGTGAGCCCTTTTCTGGCTTAGGGCATGTGTGCAACAGAAACACCAAAAGAACATTTCCAGGAGACAGACACCAAGAATTGTTTGAGCTTGCATGAGAAAGCAGAGCTGGGATTTATTTTCAGTGTGCAGTCATGGGGGAAAGAAGGGCTGTTAAACTCCTTCTGGAGTTTAGGGACATGGACAGAGAAGAGGACAGGGACCCAGCGGAATTCTGCCTGATCCCACACAGTGTGTACGGGATTATTTATTGTGCAGGGCGCTGTGTTTTTAATCTGTGTTAAGTGACTACTTGCAACCAACAGAATCAAACTGTACCTACACCCGGACCACAGCAAAGGGCTGTTAAGGAAGGAAGGGGAAACGTGAGGATAAGGCAATATCAAAGTTTAAACTGTCCTTTTACAAATATGAGCTGTAAGAAACGGATTAAACTACGTAATCACAAACAATGTTCACATCAGGCCCTTGAGCTTACTTAACTGGCTTATAACGTCTGAGGCACAGGACGGCAGACCTCCAACAGTGAAGATAAGTGAGTGTGCACAGATGTGTCAGTCAGCAAGAACAGCCAAAAAAATAGCATAGAATAAAACAGGAGCTCAGCTAAAAATCAAGTGTACAGCCTGGCAAATTTCTGAGCGCTATAATCAAGGTGTTGCTGCTGACTTGCTGCAGACCTACTATTAATTCTGAAAATATTCACTTCTTTCCGAGTGCCTGTAGGGCTGCTATGCAGATGGAGTAGTTATAATCCATAAAAAAAAGTGTTGATATATAACAGGCTGCATCACCATACTCATATAAACAGCTCTGTTAAAGTTTCATGCATCACAAGCACACTACTGTGGGTAGGGATAGAGGGCACAGCTCATGCTGTCCTGCACGGAGCTTTGGCATAGGCAAATGGGATTTGAAAAAGTAATATAATTATTAAAAGTAATCATAATCATTAGGCCAGACTTCAAAATTCCTTTTACATCATCCATATAATGGAATACGTCTCACAGAATGAAGCTTTCTACATGTTAAGTCTACAGCATTCCTTCCCTTGCAGTAAGGATCAAAGTCCGTTGTCCCAGGCAATGCCAACAGCTCATGCCCATGCTCCAACCTAGCAGCAAAGATCACTCATGTCTAAAAAGCTGCTCTCTTGCCATGCAAGTGCACCTGATGTGAAGGTAGTCTTCACTGAAAGAAAACCCTATATAGTCCTCCACTCTGCTCACTGATAGACAGGTTCCAACTGAGGAGCTTCAGAGAGACTCTGAAGGGCAGGGAAGTGACCAAATGGCTTTGCAATTCAGAAAAAAATTACTTAAGTCAAAGACAGTGGAAAGTGAACAAGTGGCTCCAGAAAAAAACCCTATCAAGAACAGAAGAGTGAAGTGAGAAGGTAGGAAGGAGATGGAGAAACAGGGAAAGGTTGTGCCCATCAAGCCCATAAGAAAAGTTAAGATAAAGAAGGAGACTTTAATGCAGGGCTGGGCACAGCGGGGATAAAGGAAAGCTAAGTAGAGAGAGAAACAAGTGCAATTAGAGCAGCTGGTTATCCTGAAATGGCAGGTCAGACCTTGAAGAAAGCCATCAGACAAGAAAACACCAGAATTGAGGCAGGAAGCTAATATCATGTATTTATTGTTTTCAGAAAAAGGAATAGTCAAAATGAGGTTTAATGTCACCAATGGTCTGAAGCGAAACACAAGTGGAAAGCAAGTGAATATCAAGAACAACTCCAATTGTGAAAGCAACTGAAAATACCGAATGAAGGAAAATAACCTAGGATCATACAATGAAGAACTTCACACATTAGTGAACATCTGTAACAAAAATCTAGGAGAAGGCAATTAGCACTGCAGGGTTTAACTCCCGTTTCTAAACAGAGGAGCTAGACAGCAGTGGGGTACCTGTGGGGTTTTTTTTGTTTGTTTGTTCGGGGTTTTTTGGTCCCAAATAATAATCCCAAAATTCAATAAAATGGGTGTCCATAGACAGAAACAGGTTTGAAGTTCTTCCTTGCGCTCTTCAGCACTAAATAAGGGTAGGACAGGGAACTTTAGCCAATGGCAATGCTGCCACCACGTGGCTGTCTTTTCTGATTGCTCAGAAAATATGTCAAGTCAGATGCTGACGTAACTCAAATATACTGTGTGATTCAGTCCCCTTAGATGCTCAAAGAACTGATGAACACACAGTACCATTTCTTTATCATCACTGCTATTAGCTATGAATAATAAAAATAATTATTAATCGCTATTCTTAATCTTTAGGCTTTTTATTTTAGTATCTAAACTTTTCTCTTAGTTTGCCTTGTCTTTAAAACATGTATGTCCAGTAAAGTTAACTTAACCTCTCGTGATGGAACAGCGCCTCATTCTTTTTACCAGATCTTCACTATAGGTTGACCATTACGTATCAAATAGTATTAAAAAGGTTATTAATACACAGAAATACAAAGTTACTGCTCCACAGCTTTTGTTGTTATGATTGGAGTGATAACAAATAACACGGTTACTTCATGTCTTGCTCTCAGCTTTGGCAGCTTCAAAATCCAATGTTTGAAGGGACTTCCAGTTTATGGGGAATAGGACTGAAAAGTACAGAAGCAGCTTCACTGCAACATTGGGCAAGAGCATTCTCCAATGTTTCATGAAATTTCTAAGAGTCATTGCAATGCAATGAAATCAGATTGCTAGAAAAGCACTCCTGACAGATGCACACACGCAAGCATAAGCAGTTATCTAGGAATGGATTAAATTTAGTTCACATATGGCAAAACATTGCCAACAGCTGGAGCTACAAAAATCTCAAGCCAGAATCCAGTATAAAGTTTGCACATCCAGGTAGCAAACAACAGCCCGAGCTGCAGGTTCGGTACGTACGCTATTGTCCAGACCAGAAATCAGCCCCTTGAAATGCTCATAATCCAGCAGTCGAGTCAGCCAGACAAATACAAATTCTCCCTTTCTCCCAGGCCCACCACCTCATCTCCCCCTTCACTGGTATTTTTATTACCTCACACTTGCCACGAAGACCTGTCTCCTGGAGCCGGGACCAAATGCTCTGGATCCTCCCCGCGTGCTCTGGGTGGCTGTTTGTGTTTCCACAGGTACACTGGTGTTTCAGCATCAAGGTGTCATACACAAGGCCTGCAGCAGAGGTTACAAAATTGCTCTCAATTAAAAAAAATAATAATAATTTCCCCAGATATATGGAAAAAAACGTGTTGGTTTTTTTTTTACTATAGCACTTTATATTCAACTGAACACTTCTAGACAAAGACGTGTGTTTTACCAGGAGTCACAGAGCTCTAAGAAATGAAAATCCAACACGCTACTTTGAGACAGCACCAAATGTGCAACGATGCCTTCCTCTGGAAAGCCTCAACAGATCCGGAAAAGAAATTAGTCACCAACATCTCTGTAGGCTGAAGTTGTGAGAGTAAGAGAAGGAGGTGACAACTGACTATGGATGTGCCGGCAGAGCAACATGATCAAGGAGGGGACTGCCTTGCAGCTTTTCCACTGGGTACTTTTATAATTGCTGCTAAAATGACTCTAGGTCTTGGGATTAAAAACCAGAAGGAATAAGTTGTTACCAGGCACTATGTTTCATAAAATAGTTTGTGCTGAAGTCTTTGCATCAACGTTATTTGACAACATGCTAATTAAGGCTATTAGCACACACTTGGGCATAATTATTCAGCATGATATGTAGGTATTTAGCAGTATTGTTTCATTTGAACGTGGGAGTCAGGCATCTAAATCCCCTTGCATTACCAAGTATTTATGGCATGACAACAGCGTAGGAGACTTTGATTCATGCTCCAGAGTTGCCCGGGTATGTTTTTGGAAGGGAAGTTATGATTTCGTAGCCAATGTTCCACTGGAGGAAAACAGCAGGTCCTCCACAGCTATGCAGTCCCAGTGACAAAAGACCTTCTTTTTTCACTCAAGCGAAAGAGACATAGTCAGATGTTCAAATCTACCCTTCCATTCAGCCAGAAGCTCCAGAAAACAGAACAAAAGGGTTTGGTTCTTTTTTCCCCAAGGAGTAAGGTTTCTTGCAAGAAATATCTGTTTGAAAGCACAGTATAAAGTTGCAAATCAAGGGTCCAAAGCCTTTGAATTAGCAGTGAAGGCAGGAGCTATTCCCAGATCCCAACGTTAAAGGGTCTGCACTCCAACCAATATCGCTCCTCTGAAATCCCAGACAAGGACACCTCTGCTGCAGTGGGCGGCATGAATACAGCTCAAGGAGCTTACCAGAGCTGGCTTTCATGTAGCCAGTTCAAGTATCAATTTGCAAACAGCACAATTTGCAACTGCATGGAGTTCAAAGGGGCTTGTAAGAAACCAGACTCTGAGAACATACACGGACACGTAGCCTGGAGCTCAGCGCCGTGCTGCTGCTTGCACCCAAGCTTGGCTTGAGCTGCAATCACACCTTTTGACTGAGTGTAGGCATGTTCTGCCACTGAAAAATTTGGCTTTCCGCTCTGAGGCGAACCCTGGCACTGACACTTTCAGATATTCAGCCTCAGAGAATGTATCTGGCAGTTCCTTGCTTTGCTGTAGGTGAATGCAAAGTAAAAAAAAAACAAACACAAAAAACCACCCAAAACCCCCCAAACCTAAACCACATTCAGTTCTAGGAAGAGAACAGAGCACCGGTTAATTGACTGCCTTTGGGTTAGCCAAAGTTCAGTTAAATAAGATCATGCTGAAAAGCTCTGTAGGTCTCCCATGTTTGATTCACAGCATCCAACTTCAGTAGGAGCTGCTGGGCAAAGCCAAGCACTGTAGATTTCACCTGAGAAGAAGCTCTAGCCCATAAGAATTCCCCAGTCTCAGTTCATTTAAACTAGCGCAAGGTCTGCAGTAACCTCGCCTCTGAGGTTAATTTATTTCTGAAGGAAACTCATCTTCAGGGGACATCATGCATTTTGACAAAGTATTTGTTACCCTAAAGAACCCCATGCAGATGTCCTCCTAGACCACACCAGACTGCACTATGTTTGGCTAAATCATTCATATTAAAAAAAAGAAAGTGGTTCTCCCTTCTTTGACTTCCAGGCATATCTACAGGGACTACAACAAGGCTTTATAGATTTAGAGCCAAAAGGTGCATGTGTATCTATTCAACGTGTATATTCAGAGGCAACAACTAGCCCTGAATTTAAACAAAAAAAAAGTACAAGCAGCAAGTCATTCATCAGATAGCTCCTGACCCATCTGGGAGCAACTCGGGCTCCCTTCAGTCCATGGGCACTCTGCTGTTGGCATCAGGAGGGCCAGGATTGCACTCTCTGAGGGCACTGACCTTAGAGACCAAGGACTAAAAGATGGTGCAATTCAGGTGATGGCCAAAGAGAAGGGCAATGGGAAAGCACACTGCTTGGAGCACAGGCAAGAGAGTGCATCAGAGAATTCACTAATGGAAATGGGAAAAGTAAAATAAAAGATATGAAAGCTAAGAAGAGGAAGCTGCACCGCATTTGTGAAGGACACTCCAACCTGGAGAAAAATCTGAGGCTAGTTCATGCCATACCTTCATGAACTTGTGGAAAAACCCAAGCATTTTCAAGCTGTGTATTTTAAGCCACCTTTTCTTGCTCACCTCCTGGATTCCAAGACAACGCTTAATGCTGTTGCTCTAACAAATCTTTTCACTACTTGGGAGCTGGGCACAACCTGGCAGTGAATTGTGCCGAATGCACTGCAAAGCTGGAAGGGGTCTAAGACCAGTTAAATAGTTGATACATGAATCTGTGTTGCAAGTTCCTTTTCAAAGGGTGTTTTCCCCAAGACTTTAAGTTTTAAATAGTAATTCCTGAAAAACTATTGTGATGCAATTCTAGGTATATGGGTAAAGCAATGCCTAGTCAGACTAAAAGTCTCTGCTTTGTTCTCTGTTTTGCACCTGGGTAACCTTAAAGCCTGGTAGGGCAGAAGCCAACGCACATCAAACCAAAGATAAACGCAAATGAAAAAACAGCTTTCTGCACAAACCTTACATTCTTCCCTTCCCCCTTTGTCTTCCTACAGTGCAGCAGATCTGCCAGGTATCTCCCAGTTTTTTTGGAGGAACTTTGGTGTCAGCTCAGAATTAGGCAGTTGCACTTATCAGCTTATCTTACTTGGAGCCAGCTAAGAGAGCCACATCGACAAGAGGGAATACGGGTAGCTGTGGGGAAAATCCCTGGCCACACAAACCAGCACCTCCTCATCTTCATTCCCAAGCACTGGAAAGCTTCATGTGTTTGAAATACATGCATTCATCTACAACAGGTTTTGGTAGCTGAGCCTATTCAACATAGGCAGATGAAGAGGTTAAAGAACAGGTTTTCAGAAAAGGGAGTGATAGGATGCCTACTGGTCTCTATTTGTTAATGGAGACTACAGTGCGGTTCACAGAATTTGGTTGACCTATGAAGTTTCGCCTTTCCCAATGATTCAATGATAACAGTAGTGTCTAAATGAAGTTTTTCTATACTATAATCACACGTCACTCAACATTTCTCTTTTTTAAAAACTAAACCACTGGAAAGAAGGGAACTGTTCCAAGTTCCTTCCTGTGGTTGGGGACGCTCAGATGAAGACACACACACACACAAAGGAAAGCTTGGCAATTTAAGCTTAAAATACAAAACTACATTGGCCATTACAAGTTAAATTAAGTGGTGCTGGAAGCAATAGTCTTTAAGACATGAGAAGAATAATTTTTAAAGGTCAGCAGTAAAGCATAACCAACTTGCTTTTCTTGGCAGAACAAACATATGATTTGAGGTTCAGATAATTATATTGCTCTGCATAGGAGAGAATAAATGCCTTCATCAGAAATGAAAAATACTTTAATGCAGAACCATCAGAATAATTTGTGGAACCATTTTTACAGGAGACCAAAGACTGGATAATTGGAGCTATGCAAATTAATGGCCTAACCTGAGAAGTCTTATTCAAGCGCGTAGAACAGTGCATGCAGAAGTATTCATTAAAGTCAAGGGGGCTACTTGTGCTAGCGAGGACAAGTTCAAGGACTAGCTTTCTTTTATATGCTAGTAGGAAGGAAAATTAAATGTCATGCTCCGGGACATAAAACTGATTGCTTGAAGAAGTCAGGAAGGGCACTGTTTTCACTTTCATGTGGAGTAATGCACATCATGTTTGAGAGGTGTATTATGTTGCTCTTTCCCTATACCTTTGAAGTCTCGGGTACTGGTCACTGAGAGAGACAGGAAAATAAATTTTATATAAACACCAGAATTTCCAGCTGCCTGGTCCTAACTCTGTCCAGAGAAAGCATTAGCATTTTCTATATAATATCCCAAACATGAAACTGATGAACAATTCCTTTGCCTGTTGGACAATAACTGATCTCTTAAGAGCTACATTCATGTCTGAGTAATCATGGTTGGCTTCATTAGGGCCACCGAATGAGGTTTGTTTTTTCCAGCCCTCTCACAAAATGATCACAAGAATTCAAATTTTAATTTCTCTGAAATCCAGTGCATGATCGTGTTAGAATCGGTCTCCAAAGCAGCCACTTATCACACAGATGGATTTTCCTAGTGAAAAAGAAGCCCGATGCACTTTGGCACTGCCTGCTTTGAAAAATACCCAAGACTTTAATTTCCTGCCTTTCAAAGAATAGTTCAATCCTAGTGATTAAGCTTTAGTATCCACATCCGAAAACACAATCTCTGACACACTGTGAACAACTTCAAGAAAACATTAGCAATCTAACTTGCACGCACGTGCTCAACAGCTGAAATGCCTGCCTCTCCTCTCTGTGCTTGCATGCCCAGAGAGTAGTAGGCTCTTTTTTTCTTTCCACTGTTAAGTAGATAGTGATGGTTAATTAAACTAGTCCTTCACCCTTTATGTGAGGTGAAAGACTAGTTATAGGACTAGTATAAAGGTCTCATCTTTTACACTTTGCACCTTTATTACTGCCAGTAGATGCACAACAATGCTTCTTCCCCATTTTATTGTGTTTTTCCTCCTCCATTCACCTAGCATAAACGTAGAGAACTGCACGAGACAGAGGCAATGGAAAAATCAAGACCTTGCAGCCTTAGCATGGATAAATGCTGTGAAAATGATATTTATCAGGTGAAATACACTAAGCATTCTTTGTATCATTGCACTGGATTCTGCAGTGCTATATAAAAGCAATGTGATATTCCACCTCTTATTTTAAGCCACTTTTTTTTTTAAACCCTGCCTCCAAGGAAAATAAATCATAACATTGTGTCTTTTCAAAGCAGCACAGTTCTCAAATCTGCATTCTTACTGTTACCTGTAATTTTAAATGAAATTTAGAGGCACATATCTGAGTCAAATTTATATCCTCTGGTAGGAAATGTTATTGTATGTTCAAAGTCTTGTGTATGACTGACAAGGCAACTTAAATACTGGAGGAGGAGAAGGGAAGAAAGAGAAGGAATGAATTATCTCTAAAAGTAGCGCCAGGCTTCCTTGTTTTTAAAGCATGCGTGTTTTGGGTCTAAGTGTCTTAGATGCTCAAGTTTCATCTGGTTTGACCATGAGCCAGGGGATTTGCATACTTGGCAAAAGCCAAAATCTAGAATAATCTTGCTATAACTGATCGCATTAGAAATGTAGTTTTGTTGAAATTTAAGGTTTCGTTATTAACAACAAATACAGACTCCAAGGGCTGATTTGCAAAAATGAGATACAACTTGGGTTTTTACAGAGCTGATCGCACATTGTTCCCACCCTGAAGCTAGCAGCTGAAGAACAAAGTCATATTTAACATACCACTATTATTCTACCATCAGTGTCTGAAAATAAACCTGATTCACAGTGCTGATTTTAATGATGTACAAAGTGTGGGTTCAATAAGAATAAATGGATAAGGAAAAGAGAAACAAAATCATGAGTTGCTCTTATTTGGGTGTTCTGGATTTTTTTTCCCTTCCTTTTCCCAGGGCACACATCACATTGGAAAATGTTCATTCACAAAACAGAGCTTGACATTTGGGGAAGAAGGCGGACTTCAAAATAAGCCTGCCTAATCACCCAACATAGGGCTTGAAAAGTTGCACATAAATTAACTTTCATCTGTTACTTAGGCTACTGAATAGACAGAAAGGATTTTGGTGGAAAAAGCTGGTTGTCAGGATTCAGGAAGAACAATTATTTTTCACCTTTAACCTTTGTGGGGAGATTAACACCTTTTTCGCACTTCTGGTTTTCACTAGACAAATGCAGAACTGCACTCAATTTTCCTTTGAGAAGAACACCCAATAGGTAAGAAACCACTCTTCAGCTTGTTTCTGCACTCTGACAACTTGAAATAATCAACTCACCTCACTTTTTCTAACCTACAGGCACAGACTCCTGGGCAGAGACTGTGCTTCAGAAGGAGGGGCTGGCACAGAGCTTGGGGTGGATAACTTACGGCATGAGGGCCAGGGACTGAAGAAGGTGCAGAGAATACAGCCAACAGATACTGCATTTGGCACGCTGTCCTTTTTCTATAACATTGCCTCTCTCCGCCTTGCATCTAAATCAGCTTTGCCACAGCATATGACTCACCCTTTTTTTTTTTCCCCCGAGATACAGAATTAAAATACTGTGCTTCTATGGATTTTTGCAGGTTATTTTCTGTCTGGACTGTACGGTGTCTGTCCCTCTGGGGAAGGGACAAGCAGGACAACTGGGTGTAAGATGACCAAATCTTACCCTCAAGAAGACAGGATGGTATGGAGACCATAAACACAGCTGAGATGCAGACCCTGAACAGATGGCTTTGTAGGAAGAGGGCAGAAAAGCATAACATAAGGCAAAACAGTAACCACAGTCCTACCGCTTCAGCCTCCACTGCCCCAAAACATTACCTGTTGTGAACCTTGGCTTAGTGGGTGGCTCCTGTACGGACATCGGGAAGGTGGCTGAGGCAGGTGAGGACTGTGCACGGGACAGAGGCCGATGCCCACTAAAAGAGACAGGCATGCCAGCTGCCTCCAGTGACGCCTGGTAGTTTCTCAGCTGGTGAATGCGTTGCTGCTCCAACAGAAGGGCTTGCTGCGGGGAAAAGAAGCAGGTAGTTGCTGAAAGTCTGTGTGGTACCTTCATAAATGGGTTTTTAAGGATTTTGAAGGTTCACAGGCTTGGGCTCCTTCACCTGATAAATGAGCGGACACACACATGTGCAGCAAATGAAGAAGTGCACATTTCTAGAGCAAAGTCAGGAAATCACAGCATGTTCAATCCACTGCCCCGAAGCTGGTGCCACACTGGCAGGATCATTAGCCAAAGCAGCCCCATCCACCCCCTGTGACTGGCCACGTCTTCCTCTCCCTGTGCCCCTCCACTGCTGCACTGGTGCATTTAACAGTGTGATGCACCAGACCAGGGAATGAGTCCAGTTCAACTGGACCCCAGGCAGGAGAGGGAGTTTTCAACCAAGCTCATTCTCTAAACAGCCACACCATCAGCTGGACAGGCTCTTGGTCAGAAGGGATGGCTGTTCCAGCTCGCCACACTCCAACCATAGCCCAACAACCTTCCCATTTCCTCTATTTATTCATTCTCCTCTTTGAGGCAAAATAATAGCAAAGGACATAATATTTTTAAGACTCCTCAGATGTGATTATGCACTCAGGACTAGGGCAGGGCGGGCGGCTGCACTTTCAGAGGAACATGGTATCACTGTGGTCCATCATTACCAGCGTGTTACATTTCATTTGTTTATTTACTTAGGCAAAGAGGCTCAGATGTGACTGTATAAATCAAATAACACTTTGTACAAGCGTGGTTAGCAATGGCATTCATCCTTCAAGGCAGTGCTGTTATGAACATAACGCTGCTCAATAAGGAACTGAAAATGTAGTCTCTGAGCAACAGTCAGCGACATTTGTGCGGGACGCATAAGTCAGCTCCACAGTGCTAGGAAGATGGCAGCAAGCAGTGAGATGCAAATGACTACAGGGAGCAACGAATTTGCTCCTGATCTACAGACACTGCAACTGCAAACCCGGCACAAGTCAAGGGCCGTGGATTTATTCAGAGAGCTACACCCCGGCACGGCTACAGCAAACTGCTCGTGGCTGCAGATCCCGTGCAGGGGTTACACACAGCTGTAGGTACAGTCAAATGCTGAGTGCTGAGCGCTGCAAAGATGAGCAGAGCACTGATACCTTAAGAGAATCGCAACCTTCTCGCCTTCATAAAATCAAAAATAAATTCTACTATACTAAATACTCTAAAATTCTAAAATCTACTATACTAAACATTCTGCTAGTATTTAGTGCTCAAAAGTGTTAAGATACACTTTGTCTTCCCGAAGAAACAGAAAATCACTCAGTAGCTGCAAATACATTCACTGTGTTTTGTGCGGGTGATCCGCATTCTCCTCCCTGGGCCTTCCGAGTTGACATGGTGACGCCAGGGAAGGATGGCACTGCTTTTACCTGCAGGTTTGTTTACACAGCAAATCCTCAAGACCTGGTTCCCCCTAGCTTCTCCCCCTTAGAGTAGTGTAAGTTGACTACCAAGAACCAAACAATCTTCTACAAAGAACCAAGTCCCAAACTTGGCATTTTGTGAGCTCACCTGACGGAAGAGCAGCTCCTGCTCAGCCTGCCTCTGCCCAGGCTCCAGCTCCTGCTGTGGCTCTGCTTCCTCCTCATCACTCTCAATGGGTTCTTGCTTCACTTGCACCGTGTTGGCCAGCCCTGGGGCCTCCTTTTGGCTTGCGACTCTGTCGCTATATGGCTCCTCCAAAAGGGCTTGGTGTTCCCGTAGCTCCTCTTCTGTCTCCTCAGGGTGGCTTTCATGCTGGCGAGCTGGTTCATTGGGTTTTGATATAATCTGAAAACATCCCAGAGGTTAACCAATAAATAAAATGAAACTCATCACAGGTAAAGTTCACTCTGTTATCCTCAAAGAACCAGGTTCATGAAAAGAGCAATTGTGAAAAATAGCTTTTATCTCATTAACTAGGTCCCAAACAACCACTCAACAGAAAGTCAGGTCAACCTTTGGCATTAAGTGCTATGAAATCCTGTGTCCCAGATAATTATGGCCCCTTAACTTTCCACTTGATTTTCCCTCTGAAGAAATAAGAGCCTCTTCTGCCTACACACCTATGGATCCTACTCCATTCACAAACCCACAGCGGAGAAGCATAACAACTATCAATACCTTTGGCAATTAAATTCTGAAGACAAGTAAGAGAGACACAAACTCTCCAAGAGGGTTTCTGCTACCTTGTTTGCCCAGCTTCTTCTTGAATCACCCTCTGAATTGTATCTGTAAAGTGAGAGGCTGTCATAAAGACTCCTCCAAAACTTGCACTCTTTTTTAGTTAGTTAAGAGAAAACTGAGGACACTCAACTTACAGCATCTATACAGAAGCAAACTGCAAGGAGAGTGTCATTCTAACCAGACTTTCCTAACCAGAGGTACTGAACTTCTCTGAAAGTGGCTGCTAAAACAAAGGGAACAATGTAATTTTCGCTATAATTCACACAGGCTCCAACTTTCTGAAAGTTCATTGGCGAGATAAAATTCACAGTTCTCCATCTCAGACTGCTTATGATTTTTATTTGGAACAACAACAACAAAAAAGGTGAACTGTTTTTAAATCCAGAACAGGTAAATAAATCCATTTCTTTTCTTTAAAAAAGCTCAGGCTTTATAAGCCCATTTCATAGGCTTACAAAGAAACTCCTGAACTTTGAAAGTTGTCAGGGCAGAGCTTTAATAAGGATTAGGTCATTGGTATGAAAAGCAATATTGATTTTAAATCTAATAAAGCTAAATCAAAACATGGTTATTGAACACATGCAGAAGGAGTGACTACTTGTAAGTAACTTGCTCTTTGAAGAACAGCGGCTCAAATCTGAAACTAAGCCTTTTCCCTAAATGTAGGAAGAGAGGCTCTGCCATATAACTTAAGCAAACCTATACAAAGCTGATTTAGGCTGACAAAGGTAATATAAAGGATTGATTGCCTGCAAGTATCACAGCAAGGACAGTAAGAGGTTGCTCATAGCTACAGTAGAGGATCTCAAACAACTGGGGCTCAATGCTTTTAAAAATGAAGCACTGCAAGGACCAGGACACATCTTTCCAACACGTTGTGGATTACTGTGTTTCGGATTTCTCGACTCCTGAGAGGAGCAGGACACGCAGAAGTGCATTATCTTGCCTAGAAGTTTAAGGCAAGACCCTGTGGGGTTCACCTTTTCCCCCCACCCCACCCCCTTCTCACCCAGTACACATGGGGTTGCAGCCCATCCCTCTTAGTAACAAGAGCCGATATCTTTGTACTGATCAACAACTGGCTGCTGTTGGTAAATTTGGTTTCTACAACCATGGAACCATCTTTAGGAGTCAACAGTTTCTTCGAAGAGATGGGATCCACCTGACTAAACAGGGAAAAAGTACCTTTGCCAACAGGCTGGCCAAGCTGGTAGTCAGAGCTTTAAACTAGAAACAGGGGAGGGAGTGGTTCCTCAGCAAGCAGCTAAGGAAGCTGGGGGTATGGTAGGCAGGCCAAGGGCCTGGGGTGCTGTGAGCAGAATGGACGAGGCAATCAACAAAAAAGAGCTGAAGTGACATCCCTTTAAGTGCAGGCATGTAAAGGAGGAGATGCCTGCACAACAGCCTGATAAGGAAGGTCTTAAGCCTGTCCTAGGGAATCGGCACGCTTGGGTGCCTCTCTGAAATGCCTCTACACTAGTGCCCACAGCATGGGGACCAAACAGGAGGATTATAAGTCTGTGTGCAGTCACAGGGCTATGACCTCCCTGGGATCATGGATACGCGGTGAGATAGCTCACATGACAGGAGTGCTGTGACGGAGGGATACAGGCTTTTTAGGAAGGACAGGCTGGAAGGGGGGGGAAGTTGCCCTTTATATGAAGGAGGAGCACTGCCTTGGTAAGGATCTGGAGTCAGTCAAGAGCTTAAATGGACAGAGACAAGATGAGCGCTCTTGTAGTGAGTAGACTGCTGTAGACCTCTTGATCAGGTAGAAGTAGAAGAGGCCTTATCCAAACACCTGGAAGAAGGCTCCCTTTCACAGGTCCTGGTCTTCATGAGGGACTTTATCCGAATTCATGGGGGACAGCTATCTGCTGGAAGGACAAGACAGCAAGGCTCAAGCAGTCTAGGAGATCTGAGTGCACTGATGACCAATTCCTGACACAGGTGATCAAGATGTCAACAAGGAAGGCACTCTCCTGGACCTGACACTTACAAACAAGGATGGACTATTCAGGGATGTGGAAGTCACAGAGGCAGCATTGGCTGCAGTGACAATGAGATGGTGGAGTTGAAGATCTGAAGAGGAGGGAACAGGGCAAAAAAGCAGGACCACAGCCCTGGATTTCAGCAGAGCAGACTTTGGCCTCTTCAGGGTTCTGCTTTGAAGAGTCTTATGGCATACAGCCCTGGATATTAGAGGGGTCCAGGAGAGCTGGCTGATACACAAGGATTCTACAAGCTCAAGGAAGATCCATCCCAACAAGAAATCAAGCACAGTCTACAGAAGGCCTGCATGGATGAACAGGGAGTTCCTAACTGAACTCAAGATATAACTATGCAGTGTACAAGAGTTGGAAGCAGGACAGGTGACCCTAGAGGAGTAGAGAGTTGCTATCTGATCTTGTATGGATGGTTAAGAAAGCCAAAGCCAACCTTGAGCTGAATCTGGCAAGGGATGTGAAGGGCATCAAGAAAGAAAAGAGGAAGACTAGGGAAATCACAGGCCCACTGCTGAATGGGGGAAGGGATCTAGTTACAAATGACATAGAAAAGGCCATGGTATTTTCTTTACTAGTAAGACCGTCCTTCAGGAATCCCAGGCCCCTGAGACTGGATGGTAAGTCTGGAGCAAGGAAAACTTACCCTTGGTGGAGGACCAACAGGTTTAGAGAGCCCTTAAAAAACCTGGACATAATTAAGTCACAGAATCACAGAATGGTCAGGGTTGGAAGGGACCTCTGGAGATCATCTAGTCCAACCCAAGTCCATGAGGCCTGATGGGTTGCACGCACAGGCGACGGAACAAGAGGCCATGGGCACAAATTCTAACACATGAAATTCCTTCTGAACACAGGAAAACATATTTTTTACTGTAAGGGTGGTCAAACACTTGAACAGGTTGCCCAGAGAGGCTGTGGAGTCTCCATCCTTGGGAGATAATTCAAAACCCAATTGCATATGGTCCTGGTCAACCTGCTCTAGCTGACCCTGCTCAAGCAGAGACATTGGACTAAATGATCTCATGAGGTTCCTGACAACCTAAAAGATTCGGTGATCAAAACTTCTCAATGATTTTTGCAAGGTACCTCCCACCCCGCCCCCCAACTGTCCCAGTTTCATTACTTGTAGTACACATTGGATAACTAAAACATGTTAAACTAAGGATAGCTCTTCCATCAATTTTCTTTAAGATCTCATAGGCTTGATAAATATCATCTGTGTTAAACATAATTAAATCATCATAAACCATCTTCTGCTACTTTTTTTTCCTGCTTGGATCGAAGGTCTCAAGCTTTGAACGTAATACCTTTTGAACTTATGAACTATGCAACGTAATTGCTGAGAAAATAACTTACAATGCCACTGTCAAATCTAATGGAAATGAGAAGCAGTGTAATTCCCTAGAAGTTTTAAATTATTCCAACTCCACAAAAATGTAAGAATTAAATGAAAAGCACATGTGTAAAATGCTACAATGAAGGTTGAAAGATCAAGTGGTCAATGACAAGGACATTTGAAACACTCAGTTTGCTCTTCTAATACAAAGTGAATCTTTTGGTATGTCATTTGTTCTAGCTACTGCAACCCTATTCTTCTTAAAGGACAATTTTGCAAATACAGAACTTTGTTATGAACATATTCCGTATAATACATGAGTATGTGTATTCCAGGCTCACTAAGACTCCCTAAAAATTTTCCATTTTTGCAATTTTATGAACAGGTGCTCATGTAATTTAAGAAAGTCTAAGGTAGTCAAAGTGCAAGTTAAGATAGCATTGAAAATGCTTACAAATATATCTGAAATAGTAAACAATTACACAATCCACCATAAATAACTTCTCCTTACCTTAATTAGCTCTCTAGTATACTTTGCAATGAGGTTATTCCTCTATTTTCAAACACAGTCACCTCAGGCTATCACATACTGCCACCGTAAAACATTATTAAAGGCACTGTCTCTCTGGCCTTGGACAGCTAGCTGTTTCGGTACAGAAGAAGCTAAACATCTCTAGTCACAAGCATTTTTAAAAGACTCGATATAATTGTAGAGATTTCTTATCTACCTCTTTGAAATACAAACAACAGAAAGAAAAAAAATTCATAGTGATATCAGGTCCCTGTACAAGGAAAAACAAAGATTTCACCATTTTTCTGCAGAATGCTTCATAAGGAAAAGAAAATATGTACTTCTTTGCTAGTAAAATTTCAGGTCAGCTGGCATTTGATATGTCTACCAAGTACAACACATCTACTGCTTCATGATACCTTCTCTGTAGTGGTATGCTCTTAGGACACCAAAAACTTTTAAGATACTGCTAAACAGGCTAGAAACATCTGATTACTCATCACAGAGTAATGAAGAGTCCCCAGCAGAAAAATGCTTGAGAAGCTTCCAGAAGAATGTAACTAATGCACCTTTTCTTTACGCAACAAGTATCACAGGGACCTGTCTGGTTCTAAAAGGTGGATGAAGAGTTCCTTGGGAAGTAGATACAGAGCTGAAGAACTTCCATAGGACTGCACAGCAAAGTTTCCTATCTGGAAAGACCAACTCTGATGAAGTTGTGCACCTCTGAATCTTTCTCCTAAGATGACAA